TGGGCAGGAGGTTGTATCTGGGGAGATGACAAGAAATGGGGGCTAGAGGTAGGTGAGAGCAGAGACGGGAAGCAGAACTTTCTATTTTAGGAGGCTTTAAGGAGCACGCAGGAGTTTTAAGCAGGGGAGTGACATGATCTAAATCCCCTTTCGGAAAGTTCACGTTAGAATGAGAATAGACGGGGAGAGGGCTCCTGACTAGAGACCGAGGAGCTTGAATTAAAATAATCTGGGAGAGAAGGGATGAGAGTCTGAACCAGAGCGCAGATGCGGAGGGAAGAGTTGGGGGGCAGAGTTGAGATGCCTTGAGAAGGCAGAAGCTAGGGTCAGAACTTGGTGACTAATTGAGGGGAAGGTGCTAATTGTACCAGAAAAGCTGCCGTGGCAATGCCCAGACATTGAGTCCTGGAGATGTCACTGACCAAAGCCATAAGTTTGAAGAATAAAGGTAAAAATTTTCACTGAGCACAGAAGGAAACACAGTCTTCCATACTGCACCAGACCAATCTCTTAGAATTACCTGGTAGAATAAGAGGTGGATAAGTGGTGCAGGGACAGCAGAAACTGTTAGTCTTGTGGACAGAAACCTTTCTTTTCTCTATTATCTTTCCATCCTGATTAAGTCAAGATGAAAGCCTCAGCAAATCTGTAATACCAGATAATCTCCTTTTGAGCCAGAGAGAGAGAGAGAGAGAGAGAGAGAGAGAGAGAGAGAGAACACTCCAGTTCAGAAACTTAAGACAGAGGTTCCAAGCTCGTTATAGTGTTTTGTTTTCCTTTAAACATACACTTATGCTTATCTCCATTTCAAACATATGATTCTGGTTTCCATTTATATCAACTTTATAAAGTTTCCTTTTGAAGCCCATGTACCTGAAGAGGGAAAAGTGAGTTGGTTTAGGAAAGACATTAAGTAAAAAATGGTATAGGAGATTTGAAGATGTAACAAAAATCATGGCACATGAAAGGCTGAAGCTTAAGAAACCTTGTCCTTAAAAAGCCTATGGCTGGTTAGGAAGAAAAAAATCACAAATCTTCAGCATAACCTAAGTATTTATAATTAAGGAAGAAAACGTCAGTCGTCTGGAAGGATCCAGTGCTTAGGGTTTTGAGCAATTATGAATAAGGATGAATGTGGGTCTAATGGCTCAGCAGAGCAGGGATGATGGAGCTGAGAAACACCAGGGAAGATTCTCCCTTTCCTGTCAAAATCCCCAGCTGCCCCCGGGGAAGAGACTTCTCCCTCCAACACAGCAGAGGAACCTGAGAGGGCTCCCAGAGAATAGCATTGTTTCATTTTGTGATTTGTCTCTATAATCAGCTAGGAAATAAAGTCTTCAAATTAAACTTTCCTGGGGCTTCCACGGTGGTTTCGTGGTAAAGAATCNCAACTTCAAAATGTCTGTTTTAAAACTCAAAACTAAGCAGACACATTTTCCCTCTGAATTTCTGCTATAACAAATAATAATAGCTAACATAGGCTAGGCTAGTCTACATTAAGTCGCTTCAGTTTTGTTCGACTCTTTGTGACCCTATGGACATAGCCCGCCAGGCTCCTCTATCCATGGGATTCTCCAGGCAAGAATACTGGAGTGGATTGCCATGCCCTCCTCCAGGGGATCTTCCCAACCCAGGGACGGAACCCAGGTCTCCCGCGTTGCAGGCAGATCCTTGACTGTCTGAGCCATCATGTCAATAATCACTTAGATGTTTGAGAGAAACATCTCCAGACGGGGTGAGCGGCTGCCCTCAGAGTCCCTGACGGGAAGTCTTTCCGGCTTGGTCCTTGGGCGGCTGCTTCCCCCACACAGCGCAGACCTGAGTGAGAGGTCCTTCATCCACTGGCATTTCAACTTCAGTTCTTCTTCTGGGGAGGATTTCCAGTTTTGTTTGAGAAAAGGGTGCTATTGATATTTGTCACACTGTATGAAAAAGTATATGCTGACAGAACACTCGAGGCAAGGGACTTCCCTGGTGATCCAGTGACTGGGACTCGGGGCTCCCAAGGCAGCGGGGCCTGGGTTTGATCCCTGGTCAGGGAACTGGGAGCTTCCCTGGTAGCTCAAAGGCAAAGAATCCGCCTGCAATGCAGCAGCCACAGGAGACACGGGTTTGATCTCCTGGAGGAGGGCATGGCAGCCCACTCCAGCATTCTTGCCTGGAGAATCCCATGGATAGAGGAGCCAGGTGGGCTACAGTCCATGGGGTCGCAAAGAGTCAGACACGACTGAAGCGACAGCGCACACACATACGGGGAACTGGATCTCTCAAGCTGCAGCTAAGAACTCACACAGCCAAATAAATATTTAAAAAGAAAGCAAGCTTGAAAGAACAGCAAAGAATCCAAAAATGAGAACCTTCATTCCCACCTTTATGGTTTTTGTGCTCTGGCTCCAGTGTGGGGAAGTCATGTGGCCAAAGAATTACACCCCACGCTGACGGAGGCCCCATTATCCAAACCACCTGAGAGGATGGTATTTAACGAAAAGACTTCAATAGGCTAAAACCCTGGCCTCTAGATTCTAAGTTTTAAAAGGCAAACATCAGGGACTTCCCTGGGGGCCCAGTGGCTTGGACTCTGGGCTCCCAACGCAGGACCTGGGTTCCATCCCTGCTCAGGGAACTGGAGCCCACGTGCTGCAAGCAGAACATCCCACACACCCCAACTAAGACCCAGCACAGCCAAATAAATAAATAATAAAGTAAAACACTTTTTTAAAAAAATGAAAGGCAAACATCAAGGTGACTCTGGGTGAGCCGATAAAGGCTCCACAAAGCAGGAAGTGAGAGCAGAGAGCCTTTTAATGGTCATCTGGCACAAAGAGAGAGGCCCTGGCCCTGCTTAGGAACTCGAGGCCACTACGCTGAGACCTGACGCCAACCACCATGGAAGAACGGGCATCTCACGGCTTCAGTGCTGCATCTTATCAAAGTGGACAGCCAGGTCTGGGTCTCAGCCAGGATCTTATCAAAGGATGTTAAGCTTTGAGACTTGGAGAGTGGGAACACTGGGCTGGCTCCCAGATCTGCCATGCTCAGCTGACTGATCCTGCCCAAACCCCTAGGTTGGTCCAGGCCCCCACTCCCCTCTCTCAAGTGTTAAAAAAAGGTGATAATACTCATCACGCAGGGTAGTTTATGAGGCTCCGAGAGCAAATGAATAGATCATGGGGGAAGAATTCTGGTGCTCCTGTTTCCAAGAATATGTGTGGAAATGAGTGTGAATCTAAAGATGTTAGAGACCAAGGTGTTCTGCTGTGCTTAATCTCTCCGACTCTTTCTGACCCCATGGACTATAGCCTGCCAGGCTCCTCTATCCATAGGGATTCTCCAGGCAACAATACTGGAGTGGGGAAAAAAAAAAATACTGGAGTGGGTTGCCATGCCCTCCTCCAGGGGATCTTCCCAACCCAGAGGTTGAACTCAGGTCTCCCGCATTGCAGGAGAATTCTTTACCTTCTGAGCCACCAGGAAAGCCCAAGAATACTGGAGTGGATAGCTTATCCCTTTTCCAGGGGATCTTTCCGACCCAGGAATTGAACTGGGGTCTCCTGAATCAGGAGGAGTCTTTATCAGCTGAGCTACCAGAGAAGTCCCAGAGACCAAGGTAGGCGATGTGAAAGTATAGTTCTGAGACTTCCCTAGCAGTCCAATGGCTAAGAGTCTGCACTTGCAATGCAGGGGGCACAGGTCCAATCCCAGGTCAGGGAACTAAGGTCCCGCATGGTGTGGCCGAAAAAAAGAGAAAGAAAATATAGTTATGTCACTGTTGCCGTGTTTATAACCCCCTAGCATTCTTCCAACGTCTTCACCTGTAACTTTAATTCTTTTGCAACACTCCGAGGAACAGAAGGAAGGGCCAATAATAATGATTTCCATTTTACAGAGGAAAGACATAGAGGCGAAATGCACTGCCAGAGGTCACCTGGCTGGTTTGTGTAGCAAGACTTTCTGTTCAACCCAGTCCAACAGAGCTGGATTCCATCTCTCCAGCAGGTGCTCATGCAACCTGGGGACCTACAGATGGATTGTAAGGTGAAGAAAGGGAGGGAAGGCTGTAGATCAGGTGACTCCAAAACATAGCAACTGTTAATAGGTATGAGGGTTCTCTCAATGGGGAGTGATGAAAATGTTCTAAAATTAGATTATGGTGATGGTTTCACAGCTCTAAATATACTTAAACACATTGATTTGTACACTTTAAATAGGTGAATTTTATCTCAACAAAGCTGTTAAGATGTATCAGGGTTTGTGTGTTTTTTTTTTTTCTTTGAGTTTGTGCTAAAGATGCATGTTTGGGTGCTAAAACTCTAAAGAAATGCAAGCAAGTGATTACTGTAAATGTCAAGATGCCTTTCAGGTGGAGAGAGGGTTTTGTAAGGGTTTTTTAATTGGAATGGGGAAAGAGCCTCTGGGGTCGGTAGCAGGGTTTTATTTCTTGACCTGAAGTGTAAAGGGTGCTTAATAATAATAACAGTAATGATTATTCCTTATGCTGCACATGTGTTTTGTGTAGTTTTCTCTATCTATTCTGTTATGGGCTAAAATGGTTCTAAAGAAATGGGGGAAATCAAGTATCAGGTGATACCATGTGCTGGCCAGACTGTAAGGACCCGCCCCTGCACTTCCTGGTATTCATGCTCCTGTGAATCCCCACCCCTAAATGTGGGCAGGGCCCGTGACTTTCTTCTAATCAACAGAATGAGGCAAAGGCGAAGGGATGCGTTGGTTATATGTCCGTGTGGTTACATTACAGAAGATTTAATGTCGGGACTGACCTGGTGGTCCAGAGGTTAAGAATTCACCTGCCAACTTGGAGGACACTGGTTCGATCCCTTGGTCCGGGAAGATCCCACAATTCATGAGGCAACTCAGCCCCAGAACCACAAGTGCTGAACCTGTGCTCGAGAGCCCGTGCTCCACAAGAGAAGCCAGTGCATGAGAAGCCTGCGCACCGCAGCTGGAGAAAGCCTGCACGCAGCGCGGCCAAAACTAAGTACATTAAAAAGCATTTTTACCACACATCAACATGAATTAGCCACAGGTATACAGATGGCCCCTCCCTCTTGAATGTATGGCAGAAACCGAACCAGTATTATAAAGCAATTACTCTTCCATTAAAAGTTAACAATTTTTTTAAAAATTAAAGATAGAGTTGTTAAAAGATTGAATGTCCACCTTTTGGGAGAGCTGATCTCCCTCGTGGCTTTGATGAAGCAAGCAGCTACGCTGCAGAGACCCACTGGGTAAGGACCTGGGGTCCTCAGTCTGAAAACCCACGAGGAACTGAATACTGCCGACAACCACGTGAGCTTGGAAGCAAGTCCTTCCCCAGGGGGGCCTCCACGTCACCCAGCCCCAGTTCACACTCTGACTGCAGCTTTCAAGACTCCAGAACAGAAGCCTCAGCTAAGCTGTACCCTGACTCTGGCCCATAGAAGCCTTGAGATTGTAAATGTGCGTTGTTTGAAGCCACTGAATGTGTCCTGATAGTATTACACGGCGCTTGACAGCATGCCCCCTGTGGGTGGGGAGGAGGACCCCTAAAATCAATCTCATTGTCAGTGATTCACTAGAAGGACTCACAGAATTCAGCAAAGCTGCTATACTTGTGACTACAGTTTATTACAATGAAAGGACATAGGTTAAAATCAGAAATGGAAAAAGGCCCTCTCATTATAGGGCCATTGCTTAATTCTCCCAGCCTGATGTGTGACAACACACATGGAATACTGCCAACGAGGGAAGCACGTCCAAGACTCGGTGTCCAAAGCCTAGATTGGCCCACGGTAGGCAGATTCCCCGGTGGCTCAGATGATCAAGAGTCTGCCTGCAATGAGGGAGACCTGGGTTCAATCCCTGGGTCGGGAAGATTCCCTGGAAAAGGAAATGGCAACCCACTCCAGCATTCTTGCCTGGAAAATCCAATGGGTGGAGGAGCCTGGCAGGCTATAGTCAGTCCACAGGGTCGCAAAGAGTCAGACATGACTGAGTCACTTTATTTTGTAGGCAGAATCACTGCTCATATGGCTGATCTTAGTTTCCAGCTCCTCCAGAGATCGAGCTGATACTGAGTGGCCCAAGGGCCTCCAATAAAGACAGTCTTATCAGGCAGGATATTCCAAGGGCTTAGATATTATCTCCTACTCAAGAGCCTGTCCTTTCTTTGGACCACGCAGGGTTTGAACAATGCAAGTTAGCCAAGTTAAACAGTTACTTTGCATTCCTCAACTTTGAAAGTTCATTCCTTATTTGTTTGCAATTCCTTTCTTTAATTTTAAAAATTATTTTTGGCCGGGCAGGGCCCTGGTTGGGGTGAGCAGGCGTTATTCTTCCTTGGGGTGTGCCGGCTTCTCCCTGTGGTGGCTTCTCTGGTTGCCGGGCATGGACTCCACAGCTCCAGCGCTCAGTAGATGTGGCGCACTGGCTTAGCTGCCCTGTGGCACGTGGGATCTTTTGGAAGCAGGGACTGAATCCATGTCCCCTGCATTGGCAGGTGGATTCCTAACCATCTGGACCACCAGGGAAGTGCTGAAAGTGGGATTCTTAAGTTGCCACCCTGCTAAAAGTCAGAGAGACCCAGAAATCGATGTGTTTAACACCCGGGGAATGTTTACACATTCATTTGCCTTATGGTCAGAGAATTTCCAGGGCATAAGCCATACAGCCAGAAGGCAGGGTGTAGAGGAAAAGAGACAGAGATCGGGCACTCAAACAGAGGCTTCGCCTGATCTGCCTTGGAATAGAAGGCAAGTTTTCCCTCCTCAAGGTCCAGCCAGATGCCCACCACACTAGGTCTGTCTGAGCCGAGGACAGTTTCCTTGACCATGCACCACGCAGAGAGCCTGCTGGTCCCTTTCCACTCCACACACCAGGAGTCCGTGGTCCTCCCCAGGATCTGGTCACGCTTCATCCCCCGTGAAGCTACCCCGACTGCCCAGTGGCTGCAGTGCTGAGTGTCCACTTCCCAGTAATGCTGCCCAGAAGAGAGGGCCTGGGAACACAAGGCCTGGCTGGAGGCAAACCTCTCAGGGCTCCAGGAATTGAGCTTTGGGAAGGTAGACACAGTCACTGTCCGGAGATCCGTGGACACCATGAGATTACAGGAGAGGCTCCCAAGCTCAAAGGTTGGACTGATGGCCCCTGGGGGAAGAAACCAGAACATGACCAGTCAGCTCTGATGGTTCATGCTACGAGGTCCTCAAATAGCGAAAAGCAGCTGTGTATCTTTGAACGTGATACAGTTTTATTTATACTAGCATTACAGTCGGAACGTCAACTTTCAGTGGAACTTTGTTATACATATCCCTGATGCTGTTCTAGTAACAATACCCGCCTCTCCCACCTTCATTTCTACTTACCCATGAGCCTTCTTTCAGGAAGCTGTCTGTGAAGCTCACCCCACAAAAGTCACCTCTTGCTCTTCCCCTAATGCTTTACCTGATGGCTAGTGATACTTACCATTTTCTACCTAGAGTAGAGTGATTGATGACCACAGCTATTTACCTCTCTCTGGTTACACTAAGCTTCCTGATTAAGGCTCATGTCTTATTCATTTTGTATATTCCATACTGTTTTCCACTAAAGGAGTAAATAATTGCTAATACACAGCATTCCTACTGAAACTCATATTTACACACGTTTTTACTCACTTACCCTGATGACAATCCCACAAGGAAGTAAGTACTACTATCTCCATCTTACAGATGAGGGAACTGAGGCTCTGAGAGGTTACATGACTTCTCCAAGATCAGACAGCTAGTGAGTGGAGCAGTTGGCTCCAGGATCCGTGCCCTCAAGGATTATTCCAGACTTGGGCAGTGATGGTAGTTTAGCCAGGTTGGGGCATTGGCAGTTGGCTGTAAGTGATGGCTCCGGCATGGATGCCCAAAGGTTGCCTGTGTTCTGAGAGCTCAGGGGTCTGGCTCAGCCTGGAATTTGGGAGTCTTCAACCCCTTTTGCCTTTGTCATCAGCTCCCCATGGGGAGGGGCCAGGTGTGGAGGAACAAGCCAAGGGGTCTAACAGTAGAGAGATGGACACAACATGCTCTTACAGCTCCTTGCTCCACCAAGTCAAACCCACGCTGTAGGCAGATCACATACTTACATCGAGCAAACGAGGACGCCTTCTTGGGTGCAAGGCGGCTCTGGTCAGGCGGTGGGCATGAGGAAGAAGATGGAACTTCTGGGAGTTCAACTATGGAATCAAAAACATTGGGAGAGGGAGATAGTCCCATTAAAAAAAAAAGAAAGGCACATAGAAGATATCCAAACATCATGATCAACACACACAGCTTGTCTTTCTCATCGTCAGCATTTGATCAGGGAGTACATCCAGCTTACGTATATCTAGTCCCATGTTCTTACTGTGGACCTTCCCCGCCCCCACTGAGTCCTACGCTCCTTGCTGGCAGAGATTTTATTCATCTCTGTATTCTAAGCATTTACCCATTGCCAGGTACATAGGAAGTATTTAAAGCATATTTATCAAATAAATTAATTAATATGGTTCCAGGAGATCACAGCACCCTCACCCCCAGAATCTCCATGACCTCAGGTCAATGCTTTTTTTTTTTTTTAGGTCAATGCTTTAAACCGTTATTAAACTGGGAAATATGAATTGAAATGAGATTCATCACAACTGCTGATACCTATTTCCTCTCAATATACTGAAGTTTGGTTTTCATTTTATTGAAGTATAGTTGATTTAGTGTTGTGTTAATTTCTACTATACAACAAAATGATTCATGTATGCATATATATATTCTTGTTCATATTCTTTTCCATTATGATTCATCACTGGCTACTGAATATAATTCCCTGCGCTTTACAGTAGGGCCTTGTTGTTTACCCATCCTGTATATACTAGTTATACCTGCTAATCCCAAGGCTTGTCAGGTGGCTCAGTGGTAAAGAATTGACCTGCCAATGCAGGAGCCTCAGGAGATGAGGCTTCAATCCCTGGATTAGGAAGATCCCCTGGAGGAGGAAATGGCAACCCCTTCCAGTATTCTTGCCAGGACAATCCCATGGACAGAGGAACCTGGTGGGGTACAATTCATGGGGTTGCAAAGAGCCGGACACGACTAAGTGACTGAGCTAACCCAAACTGTACTAAATTTTATTATTACCTTAAAGCTGCTGTGTGCTTACAATGACCACAGGAAGTGGCAGAAGGGAAAGTAAGGGAAACGCTAGGATATGGACTATGAAGGTGAAATCTTCCCCATTTGTATCCTGAAGGGACAGCAGCATAAACCGAACCTAAGAGTTGGCTGATGTAAACTTACGGTGTAATAGATACAGTACAGTACTGTAAATGTATTTTCTCTTCCTTATGCTCTTCTTAATAACATTTTCTTTTATTTTAACCTGCTTTACTCTAAGAATATAGTGTATAGTACACAAAACATCCGAAGTGTGTGTTAATCAACCGTTCATGCTGTCGTATGGCTTCCAGTCAACAGTAGGCTACTGGAAGTTAAGTTTTGGGGCAGTTTTAAGTTTTTGGTGCCCCTAATCCTCATGGGTTCAAGGGGCAACTGCACTCCCCAAGAATTAAATTTGGATTACAAATAATCACCCATAGTGGGTAAGCCCAAAATGGTTATCAAAACGGTAGTATGCATTAAAATCCCCTGCAAAGTTGGTAAAAATACAAATCCTTGGTACTTAGTCCCAGAGATGCTAGCTCAATAGTTTGGCAACGGGGCCTGGATTCTGAATTTTGATTTTTTAAGGGTGAGAAGATTTTTAATTAATACTATGAAGTGAGCATAATATTGACATCAAAGTCAGAAAAAACACATTAGAAAAAAAAATAGACTAACAAACTGGAGATTATCTGCATTCTTTCTAGTGTTACAGAAAGTCCTGGGCCATGCCTCGAGAAACACTGTGCTGTTTAGGCTGCGTGATTTCCGTGGCAGCTCATGGTCGATTTACATAGGGTCAAAGGAAATCATTGTGAGGAGGCAGCCAAATTGCTTAGCAGCCGTTAAAGTGCTGACTTGAAGAACAGCTAATCTATTGTCTTAAAAACAATCTTGTGAGAACTTCAGGGAATGATGGTTCAGGAAGTATTCAGATCTTGTGTTTTCAAGTTGCCCTGGACTGGCCCAAACAATCAAAATCAAAGCAGCCAAAATAGGGACTTCCCTGGAGGTTCACAACGACTGGCAGTCCCATGGTTAAGACTGTGAGCTTCCAGTGCAGGGGCTGCAAGTTCTATCCCAGGTTAGGGGAACTAAGACTCCATGTGCCTTGAAGCTGCCACCCCCCCCAAAAAAGACTCCTCTTTTCCCTACAGCGGAATTAGCTTTAAAAAAACAAAAATAGCCAAGATAATAAAAATCGTACTTGCTAAGACATACTTGAATTTTCTAAGTTGGATTGTTTAAAAAACTATTTTATTTCTGAAGTTGCAGTGAACAGGGGCTGCTCTCTAACTGTGGTCTCAGGCTTCTCATTGCGGTGACTTCCCTTGTTGCACAGCATGGGTTCTAGGGCGTGCGGGTGTCGGTGGTTGTGGTTCTCAGGCTCTAGAGCAGAGGCTAAGTACTTGCGTTGCACGGGCTTAGCTGCTTCTCAGCATGTGGGATCTTAGTTCCCCGACCTGGGATTGAACCAGGTTCCCCTGCACTGGCAGGCAGATTCTTACCCACTGTGCCACCAGCAAAGTTCTGTTATAATCTACATTTTTGCTACTTAACATGCTAACACTGGCCAGAGATTATAGTTGAATAGAATTTATCAAGAATTGTATAGAGTTGCAGTCTTCATTAATAAGACATTTACTAGTGAAAAATTAAAAAGCTGCCTTCTCTGAATCTCCTCAAGCAGAATAACACAGGTGTGCAGTGAGCTAGCAAAATCAGGTCTAGGTTCTGGATTTCTAAGTCTTAGAAAATGAGTTTCTGTCTATTAAGGGCCTGTGTTACATCACACCTCCAGTCAGGTCCAAAAACACATCCAGCCACAAAAATAGCTCAGCCCACTCCGTCCTCATTCACATCCCAGGGAACACGCAGCTGGGCTCAGAGATCCTGTTCCCCCAAAACAAAGCCATGGAACACTGCCCCAGCTTCCATAATCCAACCTCCTCTACCAAATAACATCAACTCACCCTGTGTTTGTTCTTCAAGGGCCCCTTTCTGCGTGAAGTTGTCTCGTAATTTTTCTTGGATCTCTTCTAGGTCATGGAGAATAGCTTTCATTTTTCGCTCAGGTGGGCTGGAACTCAGTTTGGGAGAAGCCAAGGAAACGTCCACCCCTTCCAACAAAGTCTATTGATGAATAAGAACAGAATGAAAGAGAGGGAGGGGGAAGAGGGAGGGAAGGAAGGAAGAAAGAAAGACAACCTCTTAAGGAATGCAACAAATATATTCCAGTCCTGCCAACCATCTATAATTTTCTACTTACCTCCCAACAGGTTTTTCAAAATATAATTAGGCCCTCAAAATACATGCCTTGAAAACAATCTGGAATACATTATTACGGCAATGACATTAGAGAATAGCAATTTCTGGGTGACGGGGTTATGGATGGGTTGTGGTTCTTAAACTGCTATGTATTTTCTAGTATGCTGTACAACAGACACAGAATTCTAAGCTCATACCCCCCAAAAAGTTTTAAAATTTTAGGCCCATCTTATAGGGGCTTTACAAAATGAATAATACAGATAGGCACTAAGGCACAGAGGCTGAAATAGTCTTTCCCCGACTGTTATCATCTTATCATAATAACTCTTTCCATGGGCCAAGACAATCATGCTGCCTGCATCCAGTCTCTGGGGCCTCCAACACATACTCTTTGATTTTCTTTACCTTCAGGTCCTGTTTTTCCCCAACACAGTCTCTCATCTGCTCACCACTTTCCTACCTCCACTTGACTCTCCTTCCCAACTTAGGAAAATCCATTTCCCATTCTTTTGGTCAATCATAACAGGAGTAGGTACTACCTCTTGCGTATTTTCCACTGCTCACCTCTAATTGCCTAACAACCTTCCAAGATAGGTTTATTACCCCCACGTTGCAAAAGAAGGTTAGGGCTGTGTGTGTGTGTGCTCAGTAGCGTCCAACCCCATGGACTGTAGCCCATCAGCCTCCTCTGTGCATGGAATTTTCTAGGAAAGAATACTAGAGTGGGTCACCATTTGCAGGATTAGGGTTAGGGTTAGTTAACTAAATCGCCACAATTAATTTGATTTTCCCACATTTTCACATTGCTTAAGCACATTTTCATACAAGATATTAAAAAAAAAAAAAAAAAAACACTCCCCATTAAACCAATGAGGAGCAGGCCACAGATCATTTGTTGTTCTTGTTTTACAGATAGAAGCCTGAGACTCAGAAAGATGAAATGACTGGCCCAAGGTCTTAACACTTGTGAGTAACCACGTCAGGACTGTCAGACTCTCAGACTTTCTACCCCAACACGCTGGGTCCCTGAGGACCCATTTATTCACTCATTCAAATACTCCGGGTATTTACTGAGCATTTACTCTGTCCCCAGAACTGTGCCAGGCCTGGGAAAACAAGAGTGAACAAAAGGACAAAAGTCATCAAGGTCTCCGCCCGCCTAGAGCTTAGAGTCCAGTGCTAGGAAGAAGAATGAAAGACATTGATAAATTATGGTATCAATCACTATCAAGTCCCAAGTGTGACAACTGCTGCAAATGAAAGGTACATGGAATCACATACATGAGAGCTTCTAGTAAGGGAACTTGACTTGTTCAAGGAAATCAGTGAAGGCTTCTTCAAGGAAGTGATAATCTAGTTGAGGTCTGAAGGCTGAGCAGGCATGACCTACATGACAGGGAAAAAGAACATTCCATGGTATGGGCCCCGTGATGAGAAGTGTGACACTATAGTGGGAACGGAATGGATGATTAGGAGGCTTTGGTAGAAATCCAGATCAGAGATGGTCATAGCATTGGATTAAAGACGTTTTTAAGGAGCTCCAGAATAGTAAATAGGTTCAAGAGATGTTTAGCCAGGGGATGGAGGGGGGGCGACAAGATCCTCAGATTTCTGACTTGGGAACTTGGAAATGTTAAAGGGTCAGCTGCTCAGATGGGGTACCCAGAGGAGACACAGTTCAGGACAGATTAAGTGTGATGTGCCTCTGAGATGCCAAGAGGAAAAGATGAGAAGCAAGACACCAGATCAGAGGAGGGTCCAGGCTGAAGCTACGGTTGTGCACAGGGTGGGTAATTAAAGCCACAGGTGTGGACAGGGCCATCTGAGGGAAAGAAACAGTGACCTACAACTCAGCCTTAAGGAATCCCAGCTTTTCACTGCTGAGCAGAGGACAGTAAACCTGCCAAACAGACAGAAAAGGAGCAGCCAGAGAGACATGGGGAAAGACTGGAAGACTCGTATCTCAGAGCTCAGGGGAAAGAAAGCTCCAAGAATGAAGCTGTGAAAAGCAGCAGGCTCACTGATAAACAGAAAACAAATCTGTGGTCAGCAGTAGCTGGTGGGAAGTTGCTATACAGCACAGGGAGCCCAGCTCGGTGCTCGCTAATGACCATGAGGGGTGGGACGGGAGTGGGATGGGAGGGAGGCTCCAGAGAGAGGGGGCAGATGTGTGTGTTCGTGTAGCTGAGTCACTGTGTGGTACAGCAGAAACCAACACAACAGTGTAAAGCAACTGTGCTCCAATAATGAAATTTTTTAAAAAAGAAAAAAGGGGGGAAAAAGATCTTTTATCTCTGGTTATGGCAGAACAGGTTTCAAAAAAAATTTTCTTTTAAATATATTCAGTTATTACACAGTGTTTTGTAAAGATATACACATATATTAAATATATATAAATATTAAAAAAAACACACACACAAATTAGTGGGGAGAGAGGTGAGAGAGGCAACATGGGGCCATGGGAGTGAGCGGTAAAAACTACTGGGCGTGAGATAGGGCATGAGAGAGGCTACAAGGTCGTGTTGTACAACACTGGGAACAGAGCCAATATTTTGTAACATCGGTAAACGAAATGTAGCTTTTAGAAATCATACAGAATTTTTAAAAAAAATGATGTTGTGGTCAACTATGTCATAGGCGGCTGAAAGGCCAATGAGAATAAAAGCTAGAAGGTCTGCAGGATTTGCACAGAGGTCACTGGTGATCTTCGGGGAGTAAGCTGGTTATGTGGAGTGATAAGGATGGATGCAAGCCTACTTGAAGCTTTCACACCTCACCTCAAACATTCCAAACTCCCAGTTATCTGTGTTTGCAAGGTGAAAGATTGGGATTTAGCGCATCCTTCACGGGCAAACATATTCATGTTGCTTCCCAGAGGTCCCAGGGAGCTGTCCCTAGCCCCAGCCCCAGGCACATCCTTTCTTCTCCCAGATGAGCCTACCACAGCCAGAATGCTCACTTCTTTATCTGGTTCAGATTCTGGGCGGTGTCTCGGACTCTGAAGGTTCCTGACAATATCTATAAGCCGTTCCACCAGCTTTGCCAGCTCCTGGTCAACTTCTGTGATGCTCTTTGATGCCTTCACCTTTAAAAGAGCAAAGCAGAACATAAAGCTGGACCCAGGAACCAGCTCTAGACAGAGGGAGCCCTAAACACTGGATAAAGGAAGCTGTCAAGGAGGTGACAAAAGTGTCTAGAGGAAAAGGAGGTAAAGTCCTTGGACCTTCCGCATGCCCACGTCCCCCTACTGGTTGTTCAGTGGCCATAACAGGGAAGCAGAGTTCATCCATCGGATGGGGCTGGGGGAGTAGGGGGTGGGAGTGAGGCATGAAGGGAAGACGGGTCATTTTGAACTGGGGAAGTCAGAGAGGAAGCAGGGTGGGAGCCTGGGGATTTGGTGCAGGTGGCAGCTGGTAAGCTGCGTGGAAGGCATTTGGCTCAGGCTTCAGGCCCACTCTCACCTCTGACTCATCCTGTGTCTTCACCACTCCTTTCAAAAATTAAAGCCACCACCTCTCGTTCCCTTTAACAGTGAAAAGCGTCTACTATGAAAGGATTGTGGAGATTCTAGATTGCTGTACAGATGCAAGCTCTTTTTTGTTTATTGGCATCCTTCACATTTAAAGAAACATTCAGATGAGAATGCTAAACAACTCCACTTCCAGAGCTTCATCTGTGCAGCTGCCTGGCTGAGAGTGGGAGGAAGTTTGGCCACCAACATATTCTGGCAACAACCTCAAGACCTGGAGAGGCATCAGGGGCAGGCGGGGCCCAGAACTCATTGGAGAAATCTGAATTGCCTCCCAAAGGGGTCCTACATAGAACCACAGAAATACAAGATTTTCATCATTCTACTCTAAATAAACCAGAGTTTTTAATAACTTTGGGGGGACAGCTTTCACTTTTTAAATTATGCTGGAACCTCAAAAACTGGAACTAATTTTTCATCTCTAAGAAGCACTGATGTCCCTCAAAATAGCATGTGTTTCAGAAGTCATATGCAGACTAATTTGCAGAGGAAGGTGGCTGGCCACTGGTAACATCCTTTGCTCTTGTATGTCCAGGTCTCACACCTAAACATTCTGGCAGCTGGAATTCTGGAGTGGAGCCCTTATCTAGACACCTGAGCAAATTAAAAACTTTTATAAATAAGTGTTGGTGCTTTTTCTATCCATAAAACTGCACACTTATCATGCTGAATTTAGAAGATGCAGAGAATTGAAAGAAACATTTTAAACCATCCAATATCCTACCATCCATAGGCAATTATAATCTGAAAGCCAATGCAAAGTATATTCAGTCACTATACTAACAAATAGTTTTAAGGACCTGAGGGATAATGCTGTATTTATTCATCTGTGGCCACACCACTCGGCTTGTAAGGTCTCAGTTCCCCGACCAGGGATAGAACCCAGGCCACGGCAGTGAAAGCGCTGAATCCTAACTGCTAGACCACCAGGGAACTTCCAATGCTGTATTTATAACCAAGAAGAAGAAAACAGCTTTAATTATAAGGGGTGGGGGGGGAAGGAAGCAGCCAATATGTCCATTAGAAGGTGAATAGACAAACTGTGGGACATGTATGCAATGGAATATTATTTGGCAATAAAAAGAAATGAGCAGTCAAGCCACAAACCTTAATTATGTTTAGTGAAAGAAACTAGTCTGAGAAAGCTAGATACTGTGTGATTCCAATGGTATGACATTCTGGAAAAGCCAAAGAGATAGCAAAAAAATCAGTCACTGCCAGGGGTTGGTGGGGGGTGAGGGGATACAGAAAGGTGGGGCTCAGGGGGTTTTCAAGGCAGTATAGCTATAACTGCAGATACCTGACTTCATGCATTTGTCAAAATCCATAGACTGGTACAGCAGGGAGTGAACTGCAACTATGGATTTTAGTAAATGACAATGTATCAATATCGGTTCACAGGACTCCCCTGGTGGTCCAGTGGTTAAGAATCCGCCTGCCAGTGCAGGGAATTGACCCTTGGTCCAGGAAGATTCCACATGCCAGGGGGGCAAGTAAGCCTGTGCAGCGCAGTCACTGAGCCCATGCCCTAGAGCCCCTACTCCATCCACAACAAGAGCAGCCACCGCAATGAGAAGCCCAAGCACTGAAACTAGAGCGCAGCCCCCACTCAACACAACTAGAGAAAGCCCATGGGCAGCAATGAAGACCCAGTGCAGCCAAAGAAATAAATAAAAACTTTAAATACTGGTTCATAAATTGTAATAAAGGAACCAAACTAATGCAAGAGAGTAATAAATAAGGAAAACTGTGAGGGGAATAAGGGAACTTTCTGCAATATCTGCTCAATTTTCTATAAATCCAGAACTGCTCTAAAAAGTAAAGTCTATTAATTATTTTTGGAAAAAAAAAAGGGGTGTATATCTCTCCGCTTTTTGTGGCTCTCTCTCTCTCTCTCGTGTGCCCCCACATCTCACACAGGGGCATCTCATAGCACGCGGAGACTGTCAGAACCAACTTTTTGAGGCAGAACTCTGGCAATCACTGAATCAAAAACAACACAGACTGGCAGTAGGAAGCTTTGTGACATTCTGACCTGCACTCGCCGCATTTCCCTTCCTGGCTCAGTGACAGGACTGAAAATCTCTAGCATGACACTCTGGTCCTGGTTCCCAAAGGCACAGAAGAGATCTTAGTCACAAACCATTGCATATGTCTGTTCTAACCAGGCTTGGGGCTGTCTGAGGGAATGTCACAGGGTGCTCATTTATCTTTGTTTCACCTAACTTGGAGCTCAGCCCAGAGAGGTGATGGGCATTGCTCAGAAATATCGCAAGAGGAGTCAAACTTGCAGGTGTCTGGGGCAAAAGATCATGGTGTAAACTGACAATATCCTAAGTCCCGGTGGTTAACAGACTAGGAGCAAATTGACCTAAGTCCTTGGAGCAAAAGTTGACGAAAACTGGAACCCTTCTACTTTGTTAATGGGAATGCAAAATATTGTTGTTGTGTGGAATGCAGTTTGGCTGTTCCTCAGCTAGCTAAACACAGAATTGTCATGTGAGCCAAGAATTCTGCTCCTACTTCAAAGAACTGAAAATAGGAACTCGGATATCTGTACACCAATGTTTACGGCAATATTACTTGTGAGAACCAAAAGGTGGAAACAATCCAAATGTCCATCAGTGTTTGAATGGATTAAAAAAAAAAAAGTGGTATAATCAAAAAAGGGATTTATTATTCAGCCACAAAAAAGGGAATGAAGTTCACAATTTCCTGGTGGCCCAGTGGATACAAATCCGCCTGCCAATTTGGGGACATGGGTTCGATCCCTGGTCTGGGAAGATTCCCCCTACCTCAAAGCAATTAAGCTGCTGCCCAACAACTTCTGAGCCTGTGCTCTAGAGCCTGAGAGCCGCAACTACTGAAGCCTGTGTGCCCGAGAGCCAGTGCTCAGCAACAAGAAAAGCCAAAACAATGAGAAGCCTTCACACTGCAACTAGACAGTAGCCCCCACTCACAACTAGAAAGCCTGAGCAATGAAGCAATCTTCATAGCAATGAAGATCCAGTGCAACTGAAAATAAACAAATGAATGGTTACCAAAAAAAAAGGGAATGAATTTCAGATATATGCTACAACATAAATGAATCTTGAAAGTGGTATAGCAACTGAAAGAAGCTAAGGCCAGAAACAAAGTGGCAAATACTGCATGATTCCACTTGATTGAAATATATAGAGGAGGACAAGTCACAGAGGCAGAAAGTAGATGAGAAGGTACCAGGGGCTGGAGCGAAGGGAGAAGTCACTGCTTCACGGGTACAGTTAGTTTGTGGTGTTGAAAAGGTTTTGGAACTCGGTCGTGTTGATCATTGCACAGCAATGTAAATAGAATGCCACCGAACTGTACATTTAAAAATGGTTAAATGGCAAATTTTATGTTATATAACGTAAGCATATTTTAGCACAATTAAAAATCGACTGAAAAAAAAATCGACTGAGCGACTGAACTGAACTGAAAAATCGTCAGAGAGATAGACAGGCTGCAGAAAGAGAGGAAATAAGTGGAAATAGGACAGGGTAGATAGTAAGTTGACAGGATTTCAGATTTGGATTTTTTTTTTCTGCTCCTTCATATTTCTCTGAATTTTCCAAAGAACGGGTTCTATGTACAGCCTGAGAACACTAAAGTGAAAGTAGAAACAAACAGGAAGAGAGGAAGCGCCCTGAGGGTACTGGGGTGCAGGCGGCGCGGTTGAGCGGAGGGCAGAGAGCAACCGCCGGTCCCGCCTCCCTACCCGCGGCTGCGCCGTGGGGCGCCCAGATACGGGCGCCGGGCGAGGTGCCGGACCGGGCTCCGGGCCGGGGTCCGGGCTCGGGGCCTCCAGCTCTCGCGCCGCCCGCCTGTACTTGTCGGCCAGGTCCTCCAGCATAGTGTTCTTCCGTAGCTGCGGCGGCCCGGGGGCGCCCTCGCGGCAGGTGGGGCAGAACCGGCCGCGCCTCGCGTCCCACAGGTCCACCAGGCAGTCGCGGCAGAAGGTGTGGCCGCAGGGCAGCGTGGCGGGCCAGGCCAGCAGATCGTGACAGATGATGCAGACCAAGTCCTCCTCCGCCAGCCACACGGGGATGGCCCCGCCCGCGTCCCGGCCCGCCATGGTCCCCAGGCCGCCCCCGCCCCCGCGGCGCGGGCGCGGAAGTCGGGGCCACGTGGGGACCGCCTGCCCCGGCTACGTCTTCGCCGGCTCCTCCCTCGCTCTCTGCGGGTCCGCTCCTCCTCGCTGCCGCTCAGGTCCACCCTCGTTTCCTTTTTCCAGTCCTACTGCGAGCTCACTGGGAAATCAGCTCGCCCCAAGCCTCTAGAAACAGGCCGATGCCATAAACAGAAAGGAATTTGAGTCCGGCTGTAGTGACCCAAAGCCTGTTATACAGAGTGAAGTAAGTCAGAAAGAGAAAAACAAATATTGTATATTAACACACACACCAGCCAATCCTAAAGGAAATCAACCCTGAATATTCGTTGGAAGGACTGAAGCAGAAGCTCCAATACTTTGGCCACCTGATGCGAAGAGTTGACTTATTGGAAAAGACGCTGATGCCGGGAAAGAGTGAAGGCAGGAGGAGAAGGGGACAGAGGATGAGATGGTTGGATGGTATCATGGACTCAATGGACATGAGTTTGAGCAAACTCCGGGAGATGGTGAAGGACCAGGAAGTCTGGCCTGCTGCAGTGCATGGGGTTGCAAAGAGTCGGACACAACTGAGCAACTGAACAACAAAAAACAACTCCCCCACACACATATAGAATCTTAAAAAAAAAAAAATGGTACCGTTGAACCTATTTTCAGGGCAGGAATAGAGACACAGGCTTAAAGAACGGACTGGTGGACACAGCGAGGGGAGAAGGCGGGGAAATTGAGAGAGTCGCATTGGCTACATTCATGCTAGTGCTCAGTGACTTGAGTCATGTCTGGCTGTTTGTGACTCCATGAACTGTAGGCCACCAGGCTCCTCTGTCCATTGGATTTTTTTAGGCAAGGATACTGGAGTCTGTTGCCATGTCCTCCTCCAGGGATCTTCCCCACCCAGGGATGGAACCTGCTGTCTCCTGCATTGCAGGCGGATTCTTTACTGCTCAACCACCAGGGAAGCCCCATATATACACTACTATGTGTGAAGTAGGTAGCTAGTGGGAAGCTACTGTTAGCAAAGGGAGTTTGTCTCAGTGCTCTGTGATGTGAGGGAGACTCAAGAGGGAGGGGAATGAATGTATACTTAAAGCTGACTCTTGTTGTACAGAAGAAACCAACGCAGTATTGTAAAGCAACTATCCTCCAATTAAAAAAGAGAAAAGCCAGCTCATTAAAACTATAAAATTTTTTAAAAAGAAAGAAATGTGCTGATATCCCAAAATTTTCTTTAGCCTTCTGTTCCCCAAACCCCATTAAATTGCGACCTGGACAACTCTCTGGAGAAGAAAAAGGAGAGGATTCAAGAACTTGTTTTCTGAGATGTGCCCACTAGGTGTCATTTCGTTACTCCATCAAGCGGTGAGGGATTGAAGAAGACTGGGTGCAGGTAGCTGGCAAGCGCTTTAAAGTCTGATTTCTTTGTCTAGGGTGCAAACCCGGCATGGGTAGTTTTTAAAACCTAGCCCAGATGATTCTGGGGCTTCTCAGGTGGCACTAGTGGTAAAGAATCCACCTGCCAATACAGGAGATGCAAGAGACACCGGTTTGATCCTGTATTCTTGCCTGGAAAACTCCATGGGACAGAGGAACCTGGTGGACTACAGGCCATGGGGCTGCAAAGGGTCGGACACAACTGAGCACACACACACAGATGATTCTAACGTGTAGCCAAAGTCAGGTGACCCTTAGACTTTTAAAATTGTTATTACAATGCAGAATTGTGCTACTGTTTCCTTACTGCTCCCTGCTGGCTGAAAGCGCATTACCTGCTAGACTTCAGGATGAAAATAACTGAGTTTTCTGTTTTCTTGAGGGAGCACACCTGGCCCTGGTGGGGCTTTCTCTCTTCCTCCTCTTTTATTCTAGTCTTATATGCATGACAAACACATAATATATAAGAGCTGGAAGAGCAAAGTCCCCAAGAGGCAAATGAACTTTCAGGCTTACACAGCAATACCTGAATGGCAGAGACCAGGACCCTTATCTCTGTTATCTGTTGAAATGAACTAAAAATGTCCTATATTTTATTTCACCCCATATTGCCTGGGATCAAAATAGGTACCAGATAATATAAATTTGTGGCTACTTCCAATGCTGGAAATGACAAGAAATACTCTTTAGCACTGCTCATCAAAGTCTGCACTATCTATATGTGAAAAAAATAGCATAGTGATCCACCACCAGACATTATTTTTAATAACCTCTCAGCTGACAACTTGATTAGATTTTCCTTTTTTGTTGTTGTTGAAAGCAAAGAATTTGAAACCACCTGTGTTGCAAAAGTTATTGGAATTAACCACTTTCTCATTTTCTGGGAGGTAGGCTAAAAATACTTTGAAAAAAATGTGAAAGTCGCTCAGTTATGTCCAACTCTTTGCAACCCCATGGACTGTAGCCCACCAAGCTCCTCTGTCCACGGAATTCTCCAGGCAAGACTAGTGGAGTGGGTTGCCATTCCCTTGTCCAGGGGATCTTCCTGAACCAGGGACTGAACCCAGTATAACTGGTATAACTATCAATTATACCAGTTACTCTTTGACTTAGAGGCACTTTGTTTAACCTGATATACTCAGAAAGGCCTAGGAGAATTAGACTATTGATCATTTATATAGACCTTTGTTAATCAAATTTTTTGGAAAGATACTTGTATCTTAAATACTTGAAATGTATGTCCTTCGAAAGTTTGGGGCTGCGAATTTAGCTCATTCAGTACAGGTAAAATATATGCCACACAATCTAATTGGCTGTGCCAATTCTCTTAGTTAAACCAGTTGGTCAGATCAAACTCATCTTCTATCAGAGAGTCTGACATCGTTGTTAAATTCGAGTGGATATGTTAATATACATCCCTGTAATGCTGAGCTCTAATGCTAAGTCAGATGGGAAAGGACAAGGGTCTTGAGTTTGTATGCAACCGCCATTAATATATTCTGTCAGGACTCCTTTGTTTTGTTCTCACTTCAGGGACAAAGCATATTTTGTCAGGGGAAACGTCAGTAAACTGCTAACCTAAGATAATAAAACAGCCAGTTATTTTACCAGCAAAAGGGGTTTATTTGGGAGCAGCAAAGAATTGCAATTCAGGACAGGGAACTATGGTGAACCACATACAACTCCAGTTATGCAAAGGACAGGAAACTCTTTTATTACAGAGAAGGAGGGGAAGTTGGGATAGACTTCTAGAAACAAAAGGTCCACTGGAAGAGTTTGAAGTACACAGGCTTTTTATTGGCTCAGCTGTTGCCAGGCAAGGAAAAAAAATCTTTCTGCCCCCTGCTGGCAGAAATAAAGCAGTGTCATTTCCTGCTGGTGATGCAAGGTACATCTCTTCCTATAGGGGTCTGTATTGACATGGAGTTGTGTGTACCTGATAGAGCTTCCTGCTTCTGGCCTCCTGACTCCTGGTTAGTTTTGCCTTAATTAATTTTCACCAAACATACATCACCCATATTTCCACTCTATAGGAATGCAGAACACCCAAATATAAGTCAAACACCCTATTTTTAATGCCAAACTTTGTCACCAACAAAAATCTGCATTAAATGAAGGAAATCACAAACCCTGACCTCAATGCCTTGATTGAAGACTTTACTGGCACTGTTAAAAGAATGAAAAGTTATGGACTGGAAGAAAATGTTTGCAAATCCTATATCTCTAAGGACTTTTATCCAGAATCCAGAAAAAAAACTTTCAAAACAATAAGAAAACGAACCATTTAATATCACATTTGCATTGACAAAACTGTTTCATCTTCTAGGGATAATTGCTTTATTTTATTTTTTTTTATTTATTGTATTTATCTGGAAAATAATACACTAAAGATAAACTTATCAAAAACAAGTCTTATGAACAGGCATTTTAAATGTTTAATATTGGACTAATACAATAATAAAACACCTGTGAAATTTTGAACATTGTTGTTGTTCTGGATACAAAAGGTCTAACTTAGTTTAAGTAAGATCTGAAACACCTTTATGAAACTTATTCTGCTCAATGGGTATGATATTAAAGTTATGTATATATGGAGGTGAAGTGAAAGCTACTCAGCTGCTCTTTTTGACCCCATGAACTATAGCCCACCCAGCTCCTATATCCATGGGATTTCCCAAGCAAGGGTAGAATACTAGAGTGGGTTGCTGTTTCCTTCTCCAGTTGCTTTAACTTTAAAGAAAAGCATATTAGTTTGAAAACTGTGCCTCTCCAAGTTGAATAAATTTGCGAACTCTAGTGTAAACTAGTATTATTTTAAAGGGAGACTATATAAATTTAAGAGCAAGTTCAGTATCAATAAAGTGTCCTGCAAATTCCTCTTACAGCTTTTTGGACAATTTATATTACTACTGGTTATAATTCAAGTGTTCTGTATATTGATTCATGTTAGAAAAGTGTATAAAATTGTCATTATTACCAACAAGGACCTACTGTATAGCACATGAAACTTGGCTCGATGTTATGGGGCAACCTGGATATGAGGGGAGTTTGGGGGAGAATGGAAACATGTATATGTATAGCTGAGGCCCTTTGCTGTTGACCTGAAACCATCCCAACATTGTTAATTGGCTATACCCCAATACAAAATAGAAAGTGTTTTAAAAATTATTACTGATTTGTATTATTAAATGTTTTCATCTCAACATAAATTCTTGTAACTGCTTAGCTAAGTCACATATTAACCTTTTCTTAGAGCTTCAAAATTAGCTCATTCATATGCAGTGTGACATGAGTGAGAAAACATAATCACACTGCCTTAGGCCTTCGATTATTGACTATTTTGCAAGCACTCCTTTAGTTTCAAGAAAATCTTGAGTTGAAATGAACAGTACATTAAATAATTGTAAAACTTGTTCAAAACTCAACTAAAAAAATACGAGCTCACTGAATTGTCTTCCATATCTTTCAACAGTTCTATAAGTTGGCAGTGCTTCATAGCATTTTCATGTACACGCTGAGCAATTTTAACAATTGTATCCATGACAGTTTTCATAGTCTGCTTCAAAAAACTGAACATAAATATTTTTACTTTGTGTCATACAATGGAACAAAGTCATGAGAATCATCAGAACCTTATTTTAAAATTTCAACATTTGAATTTTTGACCTAACATAGCTAAAGGAACCCTCTGTCACAATAAAGATTGGGTTTTCCATATCTACCTGAAATTCTTTTCTTACAGATGTAAAAGATTCAAAAATATCTACAACATGACTTTTTAGGCTGTGGGTTGACATTTCCTCATAAATGTAAAAGTCCTTTGAAATAAAACTTACCCATATTATTCATTGTTAGTCTAGTATCACATAACTCACTTAAAACTAAAACAAACAAAAAAGTCTACAGTTTTTTCAAATTTTGAATCAGTTGATCTCTGACATTATTAGAAAAAAAAATCTCATGTTCTCCAGGTAATCATTTGGCAGCTTAATTGAAGATACTTCACTTTTTGTAAAATTTAGTTCTTACTTTTTTCCACAACTAAAATAATAGATATCTTATGCAATGCAATGGCTAAATTAAAATGTCTTACCAAAGCTACTAAGATGTGTCTGAAGTAACAATGTTTTACAGTGCTCTAGTTTCTTATTTTAAATTTAAATTATTTAAATCTAGGGACTCTCCTGGTAGTCCAGTGGTTAAGATTCCATGCTTCCACTGCAGGGGGCATGGGCTTGATTTTTGGTTGGGGTACTAAGATCCTTTATACCAGGTGGCATGGCAAAAAATAAATTTTCTTTAATTGTAAAATTAGATAAAATGAAGTAAAATTAAAAATTCATTTCCTCAGTTACGTTAATCACATTTCAATGCTCAATGAAAACATGTGGCTATTGTCACCATATTGGGCAGTACGGCTGTAGGCCATTGATTCTTCTTTTCCAATTTAGGTGTAATTTACAATAGTGTGTTAATTTCTGCTGTACAGAAAGTGACTCAGTCATATATACATTCTTTTTTATATTCTTTTCCATTATGGTTTATCCCACGATATTGAATATAGCTCCCTGTGCTATACAGTAGGATCTGTTATCTGTGTGTGTGTTCATTCACTCAAGTCATTTCTGGCTCTTTGTGACCCCATGGACTGTAGCCTGCCAGGATCCTCTGTCCACGAAATGTCCCAAGCAAGTATACTGGAGTGGGTTGCTGTGTCCTCCCTCCAGGGAATCTTCCTGACCCAGGGATTGAACCTACCTTCTCTTTCATCTCCTGCATTGACAGGTGGATTCTTTACCATTGCATCACCTGGGAAGGCTAAATACGAGTTGTCTGTGTAGGCCATTGATTCTTATGCCTTTCCCTTTAATTAATGCTTTAGCTACATCATTTCAATTTTGAAACTTTTATTATCATTCAGTTATAAATCTAATTTCCCATGTGATTTCTTTTTTTGATCAATGATTATATTAATGTGTCTATTTTTCCCTTAAATTTTGCCCATTTTTGCTGCATGTACTTTGGGGCTGTATTTTTAGGCACATGACACATCTATGATCCATTATGTCTTTTAATGAATTACACCTTTTATAGTTATGAAACATTACTCTTTATTTCTGGTGTTAACTCCTTAACTTGAAAAAAGTACTCTATCTGATCTCAGTATAGCCTCTCCAGCCATTTTATTGTTACTGTCTGCATGGTGTATATTTTTCCATACTTGTTACTTCAACTTATCTATGTCTTAAAATGCCCTTTTATGGAGGAAGAGTCAGATCTTGTGACATGCAGGATCTTCTCCTGACCAGGGATTGAACCTGTGCCCCCTGTAGTAGAGGGGCAGAGTCCTAAGCACTGGGTCACCAGGGATGTACCCTAAAATGTCTTTTTAACAGCATGCAATTGGGTCATGCTTCCTTATGTTCTCTGACAATTGTGTACTTTAATGTAAATGTTTAATCCACTAATATTGAGTGCATTAATTATTGATATGACCAGGTCTCCCTTTTGCTCTTTATTTTCAATTTATCCCATCTATTTTTTTAATTCATTTTGTCCTTCTTGTCCTGCCTTCTTCTGGGTTAATCAAATGCTTTTAAAAATTCTGTTTTAATTTCCTTGTTAGCTTTTTAGCTATACCTCTTTGTACTACATGCTAATGAGTCATTAAGAATTACACTATACATCCCTGACTTCTCACAATCGACTTAGACTTCATTTTGTATCACTTCATATAAAATACAAGAAACTTGAAGTGTATAGTTGTATTTACTTCCCCTCCAAGCCTCCATGAGGTAGTTGTCATATACATTACCTCTATAGATGCTATCAACCGTAACACATGTAATTCTTGCTTTAAATAGGCAGCCTTTTATTTACTTATATCTTTACCATTTCTATTACACTTTATAGATCAGATCAGAGTTTCTGTCTGGTATCATTTCCTTCTACCTCAAAGAACTTTCTTTAGTATTTCTTATACTGCAGTTCTGTCAGAAATTTATGCTTATCTTTATGGGAAACACTTTTTGTTTGCCTTTTAAAAATAAAAATCTACCTTCATGCATTTTTTATTGTGATAAAATATCAACAGGAAGTTTACCATTTTAATCATTTTTCGGTGTTCAATTCAGTGACATTTTGCCTTCTTTTCTAAAGATTTTTTGGTTTGTTATCTATATAGAATTCCAGATTTATGTATTCCAGATATATATATCTGGAATTCTCCAGGCAAGAATACTGGAGTGGGTAGCCATTCCTTTCTCCAGGGAATCTTCTCGACCCAGGGATCACATTCAGGTCTCCTGCACTGCATGTAGACTCTATCACTGAGCCACAGAGTACAGAATACTTCCCAACACATTTCATGAGGTCAGTTTTATCCTGACACCAAAGCCATGAAAAAACATGGCAAGAAAAGAAAATGACAGACCAATATCCCTTGAGCATAGATGTAAGGAAAAAAACTGTCAACAAAATATTAGCAAATCTAATTTAAAAAGCATAAGGATAATATATCATAAAACTAAGTGTGGTTTATCCCAGAAATGCGATGCCAGTTAAACATTCTTAAAAATCAATCACCATGTATATTTCCTTATACTGTCAGANTCTTCCCAGACCAGAGATTGAACCATGTCCTCTGCACTGGCAGGCGATTCTTAACCACTGAACCACCAAGGAAGTCTCCATCTCTTATATCTGTTCTCGGCCCCTCCGAGGGGCTCCGAAGAATCCCAAATTGCCTGTTTTCTTCTCTTTCTTCCTTTCTGGACCACAAGTTCCTTTATTGATTCTCTCATTCTCAGAACTTAGCAGAGTTTAACAGAGTGGTTAAAAAAAAAAGGCAGGCAAGTAACATGACCCTTAATATACATACAGCCCAGCAGGTGCTGAAACACAATTTCAAGGTGCTTTAGGAGCCAGAGAGGAAGCAACCATGTCTTCATCCGGGCAGTCAGGAAGCCTCAGGAAAGACAGCTTGATGACGTTGCTTGTCCTCTGATCGGTGGATCAAAGGAAAATCCCATGAAAAACCAGAGACTCTCTTAAAGACTCTCCCAACCCTCTGGGTCTCCACTGAAATGAAAACAATGTCTTTCTCCACGTCACTCAAAGGAATAAAGAATCATAGAGCCTTGACCTATTTCTCTAACATTGCAGCCACCCGCGATTTCTTTCCGTTCCTCTTGCCCATCTGGGAGCCTTTGAACACTTTCCTCCCTTACCCTAGAGTGTTTTCCTGGCCCTCTTCCCTTTGACTAACCTCTGAACAGTTTAAGGTTTCAACTTAGACGTCACTTTCTGGAGAAGAAGGAGGCTCCCTCCTCCCGCTCAGGGTGAACCCGGTTGCTACAGCCCGCACTTCCCCTTTCTGAACACTTGCCTCATTGTCCTGCCCTCTGTTAGGGCTGTCGTCCAGCGGGCTGAAGTCTGTGACCGCGGGGACCACATCATCTGGTTCCTGCCCGAGCAGAGTCTGGCACCTGGGAGGTGCTCAGAAATAGCTGTTGCTTCCAACAGTTCAGCAGTTGCTACAACTTCCTCATTTGAAAGAAAAACCAAGGCAGAGAGTTGGGAAAGTGAGTTTTCCAACAGTCTCATTAGCAGCCAGTATTCTTGCCTGGAAAATCCCATGGACGGAGGAGCCTGGGGGGATACAGTCCATGGGGTCGCAAAGAGCCGGATGTGACTGAGCACACACACGTGCATTAGTGTCAGGGCCAGACACGGTATTCAGGCTGGATAGCTCTCTCCCTGGGGTCCAGCTGAGTTGTCGTCCTGCCTTCCTTCTTTCCTTCCAGAGTGTGTGGATGGGAACATTGTGCTTTGGGGGGAGGGGGTTGTTTGTTCTTTTGTATTAGCTATACTTTTATATCTTCTAAGATGTGCACAAAGGTAGAAGTCTCCCAGGAACATTTGCAATTCAAGGGGAAAACCCACTACTTTTGAAGAGTGAAAAGTGGATACTTTTAAAGTAATCTCCCCCCAACTTTTAAATTCGAAAACTTTCAGGCCTATAGGAAATTTTCATGAATTGGACAATAAGCATCCAGGTATACTTCATCTAGATGAAGTTGCTAACATTTTGCACAGTGGTCCACTTTCTCTCTCTCCCCCTGAGTGTGTGTGTACACAGACCTTCTTTTTCATAAATACACACAGTATATCTAAGTAGATACTCTGTATGTACAGATATTTATATTTTGCTGAACCATTTAAGTCAGTTGTAGACATATTATATTTTATCCCTGAACACTTCAGAATGTATCCCTAAGAACAAGAGCATCCTCTTACACAACTAAAGCACAATATCACAATCTTACAATACTACTAGCTAATATACATCCATATTGGAACTTTCCCAGTTATCTTGCTTACATCTCAAAAACTGTTGCTTTTAAAATCCAAGATCTAATCAAGAATCATGAATTGCATTTTGTGGCTATGTCTCTTTAGTCTTATCTAATGTAGAACAGTCTCCAGACTACTTGATCTTTCATGATACTGGCAGTCTTGAAGTGTCTAGCCAGTCGTTTTGCAGAATTTCTCTAATGTGGACTTGTCTGATTGTTTCCTCATGGTTGGATTCAGATTAAACATTTTGTTGTTTTCTGTTTTCTCAGCAAGCTTGGCTGATGCCACGGGTGCCTTCCCATTGCAGTGCCTCCATTTCCGGTGTCCTGAGCCCCGAGGACATTTACCAGCTCCCCAGACCCCTAGGGCAGCAGGGAGGCCCAGGGAGCTGGCAGGTAAAGGCCAAAGCTCTGGTCTTGGCAGAGTTCACTGCCCGTGACAGCTGCCGACTGGGGGTGGGGGGCGCTCCTGCAGGGCCCCCGCGGCCGAAGCGGTAACTTCTCCTTTCCACCAGGTGCGCTGGGTGGCCAGGGGGTCACCTGTGGCTGCAGTCACCCTCTGTTGACACAGCTACAGAGGGGACAAAAAAGAGGGCTGGGGGCGTGGTTGTGCCAGCGCAGTCCCACCTGCGGGAGGGGACAGCTGGAGGAGAGGGGAACAATGACAGAGGGAAACGGAATAAAAAAACAGACCAAAAGTGGTAGATGGAGGGGACACACACACAGCAGAGGAGAGACAGCAGAAACAGAAACAGCAGCAGCGACTCAGAAGCACAGGCCCCCGGGCCGGCGGAGTTGGGGGAAGAGCACCAGCTAATGTTCTTCATTAACAACTTCCCAGCCCATTACAGAGGCCCTTCAGCTTTGGGATTTTTGGAGAGAGAAGCAAGTCTGTGTTTATCCTGGTCAGACTCAAAGGGCACCAGGGTTTCTCCCCAGGGGCCGCATGGGGTCACCTACTCAGCTTGTACTTTTCCAAACTCGGAACTTCTCCTTGGTGTCCCAGGAGCCAGAAGGCCCTGGGCCAGAAGTTTCCTGCTCAGAATGTCTCCCCTCCTTCCACGAGGCTGTCTGCAGATGGGGAAGCCTGCTTGAGACACATCTGGGGCAAAGGGGAGGAGCAGACAGACCAGGGCCCAGAGAAGAGCAGCACCCTAAAAATAGCCTTCCCTCTACGAGTGGGGAGGAACCCAGAATCCCAGGAGCTGCCCGCGGGTGTGACCTTCCTAACAGGCCGAGGATTTCTCACGGGAAAAGGGGCTCGGGGCAGGGAGCGGAGGGAGAGAGAGGCTGCTCGGCTCCTGGGAGGGAGCAGGGTAGAACATGGGACCTAAGCGACAGTTCGGGCTTCCCTGGTGGGTCACTGGTAAAGAATCCGCTTGCCAGTGCAGGAGATGTGGGTTCGATCCCTGAGTTGGGAAGATTCCCCGGAGGAGGAGATGGCAACCCACTCCAGTACTCTTGCCTGGGAAATCCCATGGACAGAGGAGCCTGGCGGGGCTATAGGTCATGGGATCGCAGAAGAGTCAGGCACAACTTAGAGACTCAACAACAGCAACAAAAGCGCCAGCTCTGCCAAGACGGAGCTCATCTGGATGCCACTAGTGGAAGCCTCCCGGTAGAGGAGCTTAATGTGGACAGAGAGGGTTTTCGGGCAATAATGTGCACCGTCTGAACTTCTCTTTGGCCGGAAGAGAAGAAAAGGGAAAGAGGGCAGTTAGGAGCCATGACCCCGGTTTCAGGACTCACAGCTGGACCCAAGTGAAGAAGCCCCTTTCTGCCTCCTCTCCTTGGCCAAAGGAACACACGCAGGGCCCTGTATCTTACCAAGGAGGTTGAGGGGGGTCAAAGGGCTGGAGAGAACCTCCCGGAAACTCTCCAGCCATTCACGCTGCTCCTTCTCGCTGGGGCAGGTGAAGACGAACCTCCGGTGGGGGGTGACGATGGTGAGGCCAGCTTTCCAGCGGTTCCCTCGGATGCCCTTGGGCAGGTCTTCGAATACCTGGTACCCCTGTTCGTTGCTCCCGAGAAACACCTGGCCCAGCTCGAAGGCATCCTGAAAAGAGAGGACAGAGGTCATCAGAGGCCACACCTGGGGCAGAGGGCCACCTGCAGGCCTGAGAGCCCCCAGGTCCATCTGAGTAAGAGGTTTGTGTGTCTCTGTGTCTGTGTGTTGTGTTGCGTGTCTGTGTGTTGTGTTGCGTGTCTGTGTGTTGTGTTGCGTGTCTGTGTGTTGTGTTGTGTGTGTGTTGGGTGGGAGGCTTGAGAGCCCCCAGGTCCATCTGAGTAAGAGGGCTGTGTGTTGGGTGGGGGCCTCAGCTGGGGATTTCAGCTAGGTGGACCCCAGAATTTAAAAGGCTCAATAAAGGAAATTACACACAGCCTCTGTTTAAATGAGCTTCTCTGGTGGCTCAGTGGCAAAGAACCCGCCTGCAAAGCAGAAGAGGTCGGTTGGATCCCTGGGTCAGGAAGATCCCCTGGAGGGGGGCACCGCAAACCACTCCATATCCTTGCCTGGGGAATCCTATGAACAGAGGAGCCTGGCGGGCCACAGTCCATGGGGTCACAAAGAGTCAGACACGACTTAGCAACTAAACAACAACATGTGTTTAAATGACACTTAATGTTTGCGTGTGTGCATGCTAAGTGACTTCAGCCATGTTCAACTCTTTGTGACCCCATGGACGGTAGCTTGCCAGATTCCTCTGTTCATGGGATTCTCCAGGCAAGAATACTGGAGTGAGTTGCCATGCCCTTCTCTAGGAAATCTTCCCAACCCAGGGATCGAACCTGCATCTCTTAGGCCCCCGGCATTGGTAGATGGGTTCTTTACCACTAGCACCACGTGGGAAGTCCCATACTCAGTGTTTATGGAGAGCTAACTCTGGGAGTTGGCAATGGACAGGGAGGCCTAGCATGCTGCAGTCCCTGGGGTCGCAAAGAGTCGGACATGACTGAGCAACTGAACTGAACTCTGCACTAAGAATTCAAGTGCTTTATGTATACTAACTCATAGAATAATCCTCAGGGCAACCTCTGAAGATGGCAGTGTTATTAAGTCATCTCCCGATTGAGGAGACTCGGGCAAGGAGAGAACTGAGTGGTCTGCCCAAATGCCACGAGTGCACCCCTAAAAGTGGCAGGGCTGGTCCCCGAGCCCAGACAGTCGAGTTCTAGAGCTCTTACTCCCAACCGTGACTCTCCACGGCCTCCATGTTGGAAGGGAGCCCTGGAGACTAGAGGATGGGAACCCCTCTCCTGGCTACACTGGCAGCTTCTGGACACATGTGAAGGACTTCCTGAAGGTGAGGAAGAGCACAGTCTCATGCACAAGGATGACTTAGAGACAACCAATGATGGAGGGGTGTCTCTCGCTGGGTCTCTCCAGCCCTGTCGGATCCCCATGTTCCCCGACCAGCTCTGACCCCACCTCCACCTCTGGTGCTCAGCGGAGGGGAGATCTGTGACTCTTACCAGCGGGTTCTTGTAATAAAGCAGCCTGCGCTCCTGGGGATCCAGAGCAAACCACCTCTTCTTGAAAGGTTCTCTCTGCTGCAGAAGAGGGAACTTCGTATCAGGCTTGGCCAGGCCAGGGGGGCACACGGCCAGCCTGGGCCAGGACAAGAGAGCTGGCCAGTTCCTGGCTTGGCAGCCAGACACCCCAGCGCTCCCCCCACCCCTGGGCGTCAACCTCTGATGGCTCCAAACACCCGCCTCCACCCCAGCTTTCCCTTGCAGCCTCCAGCCACTACCTATGTGCATTGGAAGAAGCATTTTCCTCTTTCTTAGGCTGTGGACAAGACATCTCAGAAAAAGGAAGCTGGGAAATCAGAAGTGGCTACTGCTCAGCACTTCTGAAAGCCCTGGCCTTGGCCAAATTCTAACCTAGGTCAGGGGAAGGAAAGTCCCCCTAAGAACCACAGGGGCGGTGCCACCAGCTGGTGAAGGACGAAAACCTGCAACCCTTTATAAACCCAGGCATCTGAGGCTTCCTTTACCATGATGCCTAACACTTTCACTGTCATCTTAACAAACATCGCGTCAGCATATTACACCTTAAAAAAAAAAAGCATCGAAAAGCCGTTGCTTTGGGATTTTTTCTTTTTTCTTTTAGGGAGTTCCTCTGCTTTTCTCTGGGAGAAGGAAATGACACCCCAGTCCAGTATTCTTGCCTGGAAAATCGCATGGACAGAGGAGCCTGGCAGGCTACAGTCCATGGTGTTGCAAAGAGTCAGACAAGACTGAGCACACACACATCTGCTTGCTTCTTGCTTCTTCCTTCTCCTCCTCCCTTCCCTGCTTCCCTGCACCACCCCCCCAGCACAACCCCCCACCATCTCCATCTTCTGGCTTGGAGCCTCACCCCACCAGCATCCAGGCTGGGTCTGAGATGTCCTGGGGCAGCAGGGGCCTCACTGGCCTCCAAGCATAGGTACCGAGGTGAGTTCTCTCAGACCAATCACTACTCCTGCCTCACTTGAATGGTCCTGGTAGGGCCCCAGCTTGGAGCACACAAGTGTTCAAGAGCTGCCCCCCAAAGAAGCTGTGCTTTTCAACTGTGCTTTCCCAAGAACAGGGTCAGTTAGATGGTGTAAAGACAAGAGCCACTGATGGCGATGCTGATCAAGAAGAAGATGCCCAGTTGCAGGAAGAAGCGCCTGCAGTGAGGCTGGACCACCCGCCAGCCACCCCATCTCCATTTGGTCCTTCACCCCCGGAACTCACAAAAGTCCATTTACTTCCGCTTCCTCCCTCCTCCCTGCCCCTGGTTCCCCATTTTCCCACCTCCCCACTTTGGCCCCATTGCCCACTGGGACTGAGGCCATGAAAGTCCGCCCCAGGAACATGGGATGTACCTTTGGACCGGTCTTTTCCATGAAGCCTTGTTTGAGATAGTTCCTGGTGATGAGGGGCACAAGCTGCGGGAAGAGAGACACACACTGACCCCCTGCCTCCCACCCCAGGAGGCTGAGCTTCCCCAGCGAACTTGGGCTCCCCGACAAAGGGGGAAGTTTGCAATGGGGAAGGATGTGTGCACATGGTTATATTTGGTATGGATACAACGCTAACATTTCGACAGAGCCCAACAACAGCACCCCAGATGTCTGCAGAGCTAACCAGCACAGCTGAGTCTTGGTATAAAGACTTAGTTTAAGGGTTCCTTCAGCAATTCTAGGAGGAGGACACAGGTCAGGCTCTGGGGAGACCCTCCTGGTATCAGGGTGGGTATCTACTGTGGGTCATCAGTTGGATGGCATCACCGACTCGATGGACATGAGTTTGAGCAAGCTCCGGGAGTAGGTGATGGACAGGGAAACCTGACATGCTGCAGTCCATGGGGTCGCAAAGAGTTGGACATGAGAGTGACTGAACTGACTTACTGACTGCATGTCAGGCTCTGCACGTAATTCTCAACCACCCTGTGAGGTGGATGTTATCATTTTCATGGTCTGCATAAAGAAACAAGACCTCAGCAAAGTCACTGAGGATTTTCCCAAAGACATGTTGCTGGTAGGATGAGGAACTTTCACCACCTAGAGCCGACAGACACCAGCCAGACCCTAGTGATATCTCTACTGCTACTGTATGATGCTCAAGTATAAATATGCCAGAACCTTCTGATCAGACCCTTGGCCAAGACCTGGGCATTGGTGGGGATTCTGAGCCAGGGCCATAGGAGGCGATGGCAGGATTGATTAAGTAGAGAAAGCTCTGGACTAGGAGTCAGGAGACTTGAGTTCTAGCTCCAGGTCTGACCTCAACCAGCTGTGTTACCTTGATAAGACCTTAGGCCTCTCTGGGCCTGTTTCCTTCTGTGTAATAAGGATACTGCATTATGTGATCCACAAGACCGTCCTACATTCAGAGAAGCTTCCAGGGATTGACACTGGCCTCCTATGTTCCAGGGTGTCAAACTGGCAAGTCTAGAGCTTCAGATGAGAACAGAGCCTGGGTCAAGAGCAGGTGCAAAGGGGATGTAAGGTTTGGGAGTAGGAATGGGAAGTCTGAAGGGAGAAAGTTGTGAGCAAGAAACCAAAAATATAAAGGACACCACTCCCCTTTCGCTAAAATGCATTCTGGAGGCTTTAATTCCTTCATTTGGAGCAAAGACAAAAGAGTCCTAATTGCTCAGTCGTCTGAACTGAAACCTGAGCAGGGTGAATCTAGGCCTTGAGAAGGAGAAAGAGGCTGGGGATGGGGTACTATGCACTGCACCTTAGATGCCTTGGCTCACTGGACACATGTAGCCCTCGAGGCAGGGACTGTCCCAGTGGTGACAGATGAGTAGACTGGGGCTCGGAGAGGTGAGGTCACTTGCCCTTCGTAACACATCAGCTTCCCTGCCTTTGGGTCCATGTGTTTCTTTGCACAGGACCACAGTCCCACTGGGGTCCCCCAGGTTTCTGGCACTGGGTCCCTGAGCTTGAACCAGACTTGGGTGGTTGCTCAGAACATCACACCCTATGTAGACATGGGGGGAGGAAAGACGGGGAGAGAGGCAGGCGGGGAGGAAACTAAGGGTGGATAAGGGGTAACGATAGTGGATGAGGGAGGAAGAGGATATTGAGGATGTTGACCAAAGCCCAGTTTCCCCCGCACGGGTCAGCCGAGTCGGAGAGCTGCCCAGACAATGAGGCAGGGCATCTGCAATTTGTCCTCCAGTCTTTCCAGGCAGCAGTCAGCAACCCCAGTGCCACACCCATGCAAGTGGGCATTCGCCCGCTATGGGTGCTGACTCTGCAGACGGGGAGGGCCCTGAGCCAGGCCTGGCTGGAGGAACTCATAGAGACCTGCCATCCCAGTGCATCCCTAGGTCTGGAATGGACCCCTATCCCGGACACTTCAGTCCCTGCAAACTGGGGAATTAAGGAGCACTTAGGGTTTAAGAAGAGTCTAACAGTTGGGAATAAGAAAGTCCCAGGAATGGGACTTCCCTGGTGGTCCAGTGGTTTAGACTCTGCACTTCTGCTGCAGGGGGCACAGGTCCCATCCCTAATCAGGGAAATAATACCCCACAGGCTATGTGGTATGGCCAAAAAAGAAAAGTCACAAGATTAACATGGTCTTTCCAGCCCCTATCTCTTACAAAACCCTTCCAGAGCAGGCCTAACACAGGGCCCAGAGTACAGCACCTCAGAGTTAGAAGAGACCCTGGAGATGGCCCAGAACAAGCACATCTTACAGATGTGGGAACAGATGCGCACAGAGGCGACTCCACCTGCAGTGGGCACACGGCAAGTCAGCAACAGAGCATCCACTAGGGCCCCGGCCTCCCAGCTCACACCCTCCGGCCCACACTCAACAGCTTCCCCAGCCGAGCCTGAGGGATATACATGGATGCCCCAACCTCTGAAGACAACGGAAATGAAGTTCTCAGGCTCACTGTCACCTTGGCCCTGAAAGGCAGACTCTTCCTGTTAGAATGACAATGAGAAAGATCCCACCACCTTCCTTAAAGCAGACCAGGAAAGGGCAAAGTGGGGGGTGTTCAAGTGGGAAGAACACCTTCGGTTATGCACTTGACCTTCCTGGGACTCTGTTTCTAATCACTGGAATGGGAATAATCACCTCACCTAACTGCTGGCAGCAAAGGACGATTAGATAAAAGGGACGACAAGATAAAGCAGGTTCAGAAGCACGTTGTAAGCAGTATGTGAGGGACCATTTGTGCATTTCAGTGGGAGAAGAAGTCAGAAAGAGATGCCCAAATCCTGAGCCTTTTGACATTGTGAGTGACGTATCCCAAGGGGGAGAGTCTGATCTGCTTTTTGGAGACTGCCTTGCCAACAGTGAGCCCATAACCCCCAGCCTCCCCAGGAGAAAGCTTTTGGTTTCCTGCTGAGGTCCCCAACCCCAAGGCTCAAGGTCTTTCCTGCAGTCAAACCGAGTCTGGCCTCTGCGTGTGTTTGAGGTCAGCCAACCAGGAGCACAGGAGGTGGCAGACAGGAGCCGTGGAAGTCAGGGTCTGCATTTAGCTCACCTCAGACTCTGGGAGCTCAGGAAGGGCCATTTTAAGGTATTGGAGACGGGCTGCACGGAGGGCGTTGAACCAGTCCACTATCTCCTGCAGAGAGACATGCAAAGGACAGACAGACAGTCAATGAGACTGAGTGCAGGCTGGGAGCCTGGGGTGGGGGTGGGGTGGCGGGGGCAGGCAGCTGAGGCTGGTAGCAGGCAGCCAGCTGGATCTTCAGGTTTGGACACATGCACACCCCCCAGTCCTACTCAGGCTGACCCCAGGCACCTGGGAGGATGGTGCCAGAGCCCAGGGCGTCACCTGAGCAAGTGGGAAACATATCCCCAGGGCCATGGGAAAGGACCAAGGCCAACCTCACAGGAGCTATGCAGGGGCCCAGCACAGTGCTTGGCACTTGCTGCTGTGTGTATGCATCATCCGAGGATCTCGTTAAAATGCAGATTTGAATTCAGTGGGTTTGGGGTTGGGCCTGAGATTCTGCATTCCTAACAAGTTCACAGATGATGAGTTGCTGGTCATTGGGAGACACGTTGAGGAGCAAAGGTCGTCAGATATCAAAGATTGGCTTTCAGGTGGGGGCAGGTACACCTGGGGATGCTCCATCAATGCAGATGCTCATCACCTGGAGTGCAACTTAGGTTGAAGCTGGCGTGGACCTCCTGTGTCCCTCTGGGAGAGCGCCTCCCTCAGCAGTGTCTACCATCATCTCTTACCTGCTGAACCCCTTATTTCAGCTGGTTCTGCCTCTGCTCTGCCACTCTTCATTCAGTCCTTACGGGAGCCAGAGTGATTTTCAAATTGCAAATCTAACCGAGTCTAGCTTAGAGTCCTCTCCACTACACTCAGGGAGAGTCTTAAGTTCTTTAGTATGACTTACTTTGCCCTCTGGACTTCCCCGACAGCTCAGACAGTAAAGAATCTGCCTGCGATGCAGGAGACCCAGGTTCGATCCCTGGGTCGGGAAGATTCCCCTGGAGAAGAATATGGCAACCCACTGCAGTCTTCTTGCCTGGAGAATCCCACGGACAGAGGAGCCTAGAGGGCTACAGTCTGCGGGGTCACAAAGAGTGGGACAGGACGGAGCAACTAACGCCGTCACTTTCACTTTGCTCTCTGAGCTCTTTCCATACAAAATCATTTGCAATCACTGCTCCCATGTTCCTCCCTTCTCTTGGAACACTCTGCCTCACCCACCTCTCTGCCCTCACCCTTGATACGCCTTTTATCTAGAACATTCTATTCATCCTGAGAGTGAGTTTAGACGGAATAGATTTTTGCTCCACCCAAACCCTGATTCTACGAAAAATGCCCCACCCATTCTCAGCCACGCACCACCCATCCACAGTTGCAGTCACACTTGCTGCTATGATCCTACCCCTTCTTGGCCACAGAAACTGGATGAGGGCTGGACCAATACAGAAGCTGAACAGGGCTTATCAGTTTCTATCTCACAGGAGTATGGGATTGAGGAGAGGAAAGACCTGCTCAAATAGCTGCCGTGCTGCACTGGATGTAATACAGTGATTGAGACATTCATTTGAATTTGGTTTCAAAGGTATGAAACCTCAGTGCCTTTTCTCTGTTTTAGGTCAAGCTTTACTAGTTCAGTATTCCTAAGCTCTCTTGACCAGGGCATTAAGAACCTTATAGGGTTTCAGGCAGTAAGGGAAGGGGATCATCCCCACGGAAGACCCACCTAGGCCTTCACTTTGGACAGACTCTTCCGGTCACAAATCCAACCTGCATACAGGTTTGTTTGCTGTTTCAGTTCTCTATACCTGTGTTCCTGTTTGCCACAGACTTAAGGCTGTCCACTTTACTTTTAATTTGCCCACCTGGCTCCTGCAGGAGTGACTTTGTAGCCCCCCATTTATGCCCATCTAAGGGAGAAGCTGGGGCATCACCAGGGAGAGGAGACTGGCCAGAACCAGGTTGTCAGAGGCTCTACAGCTGAGCCAGTGGGAGGGAGTCGGGTACCATAAGTGTCTGAGATCGTGGGCACCTCAGCAAAAGTCCTTTAGCAGCGATGGGCGTGGAGAGGTAGCCACTGGTATCCAGTCAGTGGACTGGGGCTGCAGCAGTGAGCCCACCATGGACTGAGAGCCAGGGATCTCCTCCATGTCTCCTGGACTGCACCAGTCCCAAGATTCTGCTAAAGCCAATGGAGGGAGCTGAGAAAAATGAGTGGCACTAGACTTCTTGGCAGTTTGGGGAATGAGATCCTTGCATTTAGAGAAGCAAAGAAGTGAGATGTCACTTGCACTCCTGGTTTTATAGAACAATGTGTTCCTGTTAAGAGTGTATTCTCTCTCTCTCCAAACACACACAGAATCACACACACCACAGTTCCTAATTCTAATCTCTCAGGAGGTCTAACCATGCTTCTGTCCCTTGAAATAAATACCCCTGTTTCTTTTCCACTCATGACCCTTTTAAGCTGGTTTGAGTGTTCTCCTTCTCAGCATATTCACACAATTCTTAAGTAGAACCTCCTTCTTTGGAAAACCTTTTAGATTGCCCCCTCCTACCCCAACCCCCACGCCTCCCCCAGACTAGGTCACTTATATGTCTCTTGTGTGTGTCTCTAGCACGGCCTCCACCAGCATCATCACATAGTATCTTCAGGGCCTATTTCCCCATCTGTCTCTTTCCCAGGACTATGAGATCCTAGAAGCCCACTGATGGCTCTGCCTCATTCACTACATACCCCAGTACTGTGCACATTGCAGGGAGGTGCACCGTAAGGATTTACTGAAAGAGTGACATCCTGACCGCAGAAATATCAGAAACGGCTCTCAAGAGCTTGTCTTCTGCTGCTGCCACAGTCATGAACAAATAACAACAGTGACAACTAATGTTTATAATGCACTTCACAGTAATGAGATGCATTCACATTCATGGTTCACAGTCTCTCAATCCTCAAGACCCCTCCGGGAAGTGGGTATTATCAACCATACACAAGCAGGCTTAGGAGGGGAAGGGACCTGCCCTAGTAACACAACAGGAGTGGCAGGAGCAGGGTCCCAGCTTCTGACTCCAAACCCCAGCTCTTCAGGCCACGCCGGGACATCAGCCCAGACTGTGGAGAGAGCATGAAGCCTGCTGGGGACGATCCATGGTCAGTATCCCAGTGCTGGGGCCTCTTGGGAAGATCCAGTCCCTGTATCTAGCTTCTGACTCCTGCTGTCAAGGGTCTTCCCTCCAGTAGAGGCGCACGGGGTGTCAGACAGGTGCAGGGTTCAGGAACCATCGGCCACATGACTCTGAGCAAATTACTTAACACGCCCATGCCTCAGTGCGTGTGTACTAAGTCGCTTCAGTTGTGTGCAACCCTTTGCAACTCTATGGGCCGTGGCCCGCCAGGTTCCTCTGTCCATGGGATTCTCCAGGCAACAATACTGGAGTGGGTTGCCATGCCTTCCTCCAGGGGATCTTCCTGACCCATGGACTGAACTTTCATCTCCTGTGACTCCTATATTGCCGGTGGATTCTTTACCGCTGAGCCACCAGGGAAGTCCCATGCCTCAGTAACATGGGGATAAAACATTTCCAGGGTTGTTTTGAAGATTAAGAACTGATGTACAAGACTTCCCTGGAAGTCCAGTGATTAAGACTCCACGCTGCCAATGGTTCCATCTTTGGTCAGGGAACAAAGATCCCACATGCTGCACAGTGCAGCCAAATTAATTAATTAATTATTTTTTAAAAAGAAAAGGAATGATGTATAGTGATCACCAAGAAAAGTGCCCAGCCACAGAATTAATAGCAACTCACAAAACGTCAGCCCCCACCTCGGCACCTCCTCACCTCCACTTAGCATCTCTGACCCTTGCCCAGTCACATGACCCTACCATTTAGAGCCGGCTTTTGTCTTTGCAGCTGTACTACTGGCCTGCTCTTCTCTGATGGAGCTGACTTCCTGGACCTTTGATAGAGCGTCTCAAACTTCAGTGTGCATGAGTATCACCTGGGGATCCTGTGAAAATGCAGCTTCTAACTCAGCAGGTCCAGGGTGGGCTTGAGACACCAGTTCTAACAAGCGCCCAGGTGATGCTCCTGCAGTTGGTGCCGGACCACACACTGAGAAGGGAGGCCATGGGATGCACTGTTTGAGCTTCGAGTCATCCCTCCTCTCTTATTTGGAATCTCTGGCTGCACCCGATTTGCCACCTCTGGGCATAGTCCTGTCTGCTAACCGGATGCCCTTGGGTGGCTATGCACCATCCAGACACACCCCCGGTCCCCGCCAGGTTCCTCTCCCAGATTGCGCTCTGCCTTAACTTCTACTCTGTCTGCGACCAGAAGTGACAACAGGGACTTCCCTGACGGTTCGTTGGTTAAGACTCAGTGCTTTCACTGCCGAGGGCCCGGGTTTGATCCCTGGTTGGGGAACTAAGATCCCACAAGCCACGCAGTGTGGCCAAAAACAGAAAGTGACAACAGATTAAAGCGAACAGCGGCAGCGAATCTCAAGAGCCTGTTGCGCCAGGGAGTCAGGGAGCTGGGCCTGCAAGGTTCGGGGCTACTGAGCTGGAGGCTGGAGTGGCAACGCCATCCTCTCACCTTCCCATTCTCGTGGTATACAAACAGGTTCCGAACGTGGCCATCTCTCCGGTAGGTAATCTGCAGCCCGTGGGGGTTCCCAATCTTCTCTGTCTGGAAGGTGGCATTCAAGTCCTTGATGCTGATGACAGCTTTGGGGTCTTTACCCTAAAAGAGAGGAATCGGATACTCAGGATGCCTACAATCAGTGGAGTGACTTCTCATCACCTTCGTCGGCGAGCCTTAAGGCAAACATGACCAATTCGGAACTCCACATGGGTTTTTAATGTTCTTGCCGTAATATCAAGGTCCACAGATATTCTACCACTCTCTGTATCCAGCCATCCCACCAATCCTGCTTAATCAGTGGGCTTCTCTGAGCTGGAAGGGGGCTTGGAAAGACCGTAACTTAGAACTTTTCAAGCTTTTCAGCCATAGAACTTTTTCTAAAATAAATCATTAGGATTTCCCTTAGCGGTCCAGTGGTTAGGACTCCATGCTTCCACTGTAGGGGGCACGGGTTCAGTTCCTGGTCAGGGAACTAAGATCCTTCATGCTGTGCAATCAAAAAAAAATTTTTTTTATAATGAATATCCATGGAAGCCAATCAAATGAAACAGATAAACAAGTAAAAGCAGGAGTGGGGGCCTCAGAGCATGCCTTCCCACACTCTACTCTGGTCTCAGGGTCTGAACACAGTCTGAGCACTCCCTGATGCTAAGAAGGCAGAGGGAAAACAAATGCTTCCTTCCATAACTGATGAGAGGAAGAAAAATGATACAGCAATCTAGTCCCATAGTAGCTGTAGCTGTAGTCACATGTAGATACTAAAATTAAAATGAATTAAAGTTAGGACTTCAGGGACTTCCCTGGTGGTCCAGTGGCTAAGACTCAGTGCTTCCAAGGCAAGGGGCCCAGGTTCGACCTCTGGTCAGGGATCTAGATCCCATAGCTGCCTGGAGTTCCTGCACGCCACAACGAAGACCAAAGATCCCAAGTGCTGCAACTAAGACCCATCACAGCCAAATAAATAAGTAAATATTTTTTTTTAAGATACTTTAGTTCCTTGGCACACATACTTACATTTCGGTTCTCAGCAGCCCTCTGTGGCTAGTGGTTAGAGTGCTGGACAGATGCAGACATAGAACATTTCCATCACTGAGAAAAGTTCTAATGGACAGTCTTCTCTAGAGGGAAACTTGATCTTATTTATTAAAACACTGACTGTTTTGCTCTGACCCACAATTTCACATCTCAGAATCCATCTGAGAAAGTAACTGCATTACTATGCAAATACATATGTCAAAAGATGTTTTACTACTGTGTTGCTTATATTAGTAAAAAAAAAAATTATTTAAATGTCCATCAATGATAATGGGTTAAATAAATAAATAAATCATGGCACGTCCACACAACAAAATATCACAGAATTGTTTAAGGAAAATTTAAATCAATATTACTAATATGAAACAATATCCATGATATCTACGTGTAAAAAATACCAAATAGTAGGACAGGATATACAGTAGGAACCTATTAATGCAAAAATTGTACACACATACATATGCATATGCTACCTGCATGTAGTGTATATACGATGTACATAAACTACATGTATATATGTTTATTTGCAAATATGTAAGAAGTATGGACAGATTCAGGCCAACACTCTTCATAATGACTTTCTTGAAAGATTACTAGAAGACTTTCCTTTTAAAATATTTACTATTAAAAATACTAAAAATACCAAAAAGTATATTTTGACAATATTGTTCCTTAAAAGGAAATTTATTTAAAAAATATGACATTACTAATAAAGTCAAAATCCCTTTAATTACTATTTACCCTGTCCCTTCCCCTCCTCCATTCCCCACAGTCAATCACTGTCATGAGTTTGATGTTCATCTTTCTAGCTCACTTTTTATACTTTTACACACACAATACACATGGCTATGAACATACATGTGTTATGTGGCTTTAATTTACATAAATGGTATCATATAATATAGCTCATTCTACATCTTACTTTTGTCACTCAACCTGGTAGTTTTTAGTTCTATCCATGTTGAAATAAATCCATCTACTCAGCTCTTGTAAATGACTATACCAAAAGTTATCCATTTATTTCCCTGGTGACAAATATTGAGATCGTTTCTAATTTTTTGCTGCAGTCAGCTTGCGTCCTCGGCATACATCCGTGAGGCTGTCTCTAGGTTCCAGTACATACTTAGGAATGGAACTGCTAGCTCATAAGTGTGTACATCTTTGACTTACTGAAACCTGCCAAGTTATTTCACTACTAGCTCTCCGCAGTGGTTGCCCCAATATTTACTTCCAACAATAACACAGAAGAGTTTTCCTTTCTCCATATCCTCACCAACACTTGATGCTGCCAGTTTCCTAACATTTTGCCAACATGATGAATTTGAATGGACTCTCAATTTGTTGTGAATTTTCACGTATTCAGCTTAACTGAGGTATAATTTGTAAGCAATAAATGGAACTCATTTTAAGAGTACAGTTTTTTGACAAGCATATATGCTCACGTAACCACCACCACAGTTAAGATATACACCAGGGATTTCCCGGGTGGTCCAGTGATTAAGAATCCCCTTTGCAATGCAGGGGACGAAGGCTCAGTCTCTAGTCAGGGACTAAGATCCTACATGCCACAGAGCAACTAAGTCCACGAGCCACAACTACTGAGCTGGTGCGCTCTAGAGCCCATGCGCCACAACAAGAGAAGCCACCAGAATGAGGAGCCCGTGCACCACTAGAGAGTAACTCCTGCTCGCCACAACTAGAGAAAGCTTGAGCGCAACAATGAAGACCCAGCACAGCCAAAAAACGGAGTAAAGAAATACTTTTTTAAAAAAAGAGGCCCAATCTCTATCCCCTCCCCAAGGACTGATGTTGAAGCTGAAACTCCAATACTTTGGCCAACTGATGCGAAGAACTGACTCACTGGAAAAGGCCCTGATGCTGGGAAAGATTGAAGGCGGGAGGAGAGGGGGACGACAGAGGATGAGATGGTTGGATGACATCACCGACTCAATGGACATGAGTTTGAGTAAACTCCGGGAGCTGGTGATGGACAGGGAGGCCTGGCATGCTGCGGTCCATGGGGTCACAAAGAGTCAGACACGACTGAGCGACTGAACTGAACTGAACTGAACTGAACCGAATTGGTTTTGGTTGCATGACTTGAACTGACCAATAGCAAGCAGTTCCTGGCCTAAGCTTTGAGAGGCCTGGCAGCATCCTCGTTTGCTTGGGGGAAGTTGGCCGCCATGCTGTAACAAAGCTTGAGCTGGACTCCTGAATGAGGAACATTCACAGAGAGAAAAGCCACAAGGAAGCAAGCACGAGACATGTGAGTGAAGGCTTTCTGGGTCTCCGAGCCCAGCCCAGGAAAATGTAGCAGAGGGGATGACCCAGTTGAAGTCACAGGGAGTACCCTGCAGCAGCCACCACCTGCTCAAATTCCTGACCCCAGAGGATTATGAGACACAATCAATTGCTATTTCAAGCCACTAAGTTTTAGGGTGGTGTGTCACTCAGTAACAAATACCTAAAATACTCAGTTCTTAGACATCTTTTCTCATCCACCCCCATCCCTCACCTCGGTGATTCCAACCAGCCCTGTTGCTCAACCAGTTTGCATGCTGCTGACTCCAGCTCAAAACTTTCCCCAAAACTCTAGACTCAGAACTTCTGAGAATGTCTTTCTCAGTCTCTACATGGATGACTAATAAGCATCTCAAATGAAAAAGGACTCATGATCATCCCCTCAGGGAGCTAAATCTTTGCAATCTCAGCAAATGACAAACTAACCTCATAGTTGCATAAGGCAAAAAATCTGGGATGCATTCTTATTTTTTGCTGTGCTGGGTCTTCGTGGCTGCCCTTGGGCTTTCTCTAGCTGCCGCGAGAGGAGGCTACTCTCTCTTTAGTTGCAAGAGCTTCTCATTGAGATGTCTTCTCTTGTTGTGGCTCACGGGCCCCAGAGCATAATTTGAATGGACTCTCAATTTGTTGTGAATTTTCACGTATTCAGCTTAACTGAGGTATAATTTGTAAGCAATAAATGGAACTCATTTTAAGAGTACAGTTTTTTGACAAGCATATATGCTCACGTAACCACCACCACAGTCAAGATATACACCAGGGATTTCCCGGGTGGTCCAGTGATTAAGAATCCCCTTTGCAATGCAGGGGACGAAGGCTCAGTCTCTAGTCAGGGACTAAGATCCTACATGCCACAGAGCAACTAAGTCCACGAGCCACAACTACTGAGCTGGTGCGCTCTAGAGCCCATGCGCCACAACAAGAGAAGCCACCAGAATGAGGAGCCCGTGCACCACTAGAGAGTAACTCCTGCTCGCCACAACTAGAGAAAGCTTGAGCGCAACAATGAAGACCCAGCACAGCCAAAAAACGGAGTAAAGAAATACTTTTTTAAAAAAAGAGGCCCAATCTCTATCCCCTCCCCAAGGACTGATGTTGAAGCTGAAACTCCAATACTTTGGCCAACTGATGCGAAGAACTGACTCACTGGAAAAGGCCCTGATGCTGGGAAAGATTGAAGGCGGGAGGAGAGGGGGACGACAGAGGATGAGATGGTTGGATGACATCACCGACTCAATGGACATGAGTTTGAGTAAACTCCGGGAGCTGGTGATGGACAGGGAGGCCTGGCATGCTGCGGTCCATGGGGTCACAAAGAGTCAGACACGACTGAGCGACTGAACTGAACTGAACTGAACTGAACCGAATTGGTTTTGGTTGCATGACTTGAACTGACCAATAGCAAGCAGTTCCTGGCCTAAGCTTTGAGAGGCCTGGCAGCATCCTCGTTTGCTTGGGGGAAGTTGGCCGCCATGCTGTAACAAAGCTTGAGCTGGACTCCTGAATGAGGAACATTCACAGAGAGAAAAGCCACAAGGAAGCAAGCACGAGACATGTGAGTGAAGGCTTTCTGGGTCTCCGAGCCCAGCCCAGGAAAATGTAGCAGAGGGGATGACCCAGTTGAAGTCACAGGGAGTACCCTGCAGCAGCCACCACCTGCTCAAATTCCTGACCCCAGAGGATTATGAGACACAATCAATTGCTATTTCAAGCCACTAAGTTTTAGGGTGGTGTGTCACTCAGTAACAAATACCTAAAATACTCAGTTCTTAGACATCTTTTCTCATCCACCCCCATCCCTCACCTCGGTGATTCCAACCAGCCCTGTTGCTCAACCAGTTTGCATGCTGCTGACTCCAGCTCAAAACTTTCCCCAAAACTCTAGACTCAGAACTTCTGAGAATGTCTTTCTCAGTCTCTACATGGATGACTAATAAGCATCTCAAATGAAAAAGGACTCATGATCATCCCCTCAGGGAGCTAAATCTTTGCAATCTCAGCAAATGACAAACTAACCTCATAGTTGCATAAGGCAAAAAATCTGGGATGCATTCTTATTTTTTGCTGTGCTGGGTCTTCGTGGCTGCCCTTGGGCTTTCTCTAGCTGCCGCGAGAGGAGGCTACTCTCTCTTTAGTTGCAAGAGCTTCTCATTGAGATGTCTTCTCTTGTTGTGGCTCACGGGCCCCAGAGCACTTGGCTCAGTAGTTGTGATATACAGGCTTAGTTCTCCAGAGCACGTGGAACCTTCCTGGAGCAGAGATCGAACCTGTGTCTTCTGCACTGGTGGGTGGATTCTTAACCATTGGACCACCAGAGAAGTCCTGTGGATCATTCTTGATCCCTCTGGCTTTCACACCCCATGTCCAATCCTTCAGTAGATCTCACTGGTTCTATTTCCAAAATGCATGCAGACCACTTTTAACCATCTCCAACACCATTATCCTGATCTTGGATTATTGTAGTAGCTTCCTAACTGGTTTCTCTGCTTCTACTCTTGCCTTCTCCTGCCCCACTCTTGCCCAAGTAGCAGCCAGAGTGTCTCTTTTTAAAAGTTTTAGTCAAAGCTTATCACTCTTCTGCTCAAAACCTTCCTGCATGCATGCTAAGTCACTTCAGTCATGTATGATTCTTTGCAATGCTATGGATCATAGCCCACCAGGCTCCAAAGTCCAAGGGATTCTCTAGTCAAGAACGTTGGAGTGGGTTGCCATGCCCTCCTGCAGGGGATCTTCCTGACCCAGGGATCGAATTTGGGTCTCTTATATCTCCTGCATTGGCAGGCAGCTTCTTTGCCACTAGTGCCACCTGAGAAGCCCCAAAACCCTCATATGTCTTCCCAATAGCAGAGTAAAATCCAAACACAGAAATTTTTTGTAAAAATACTCTGGTGATAAACCACAATGAAAAAGAATATTAAGAAATAAGAATGCAATTTTTTAAAAAAAGATCATATACCCAATAAGGGCCTTGTATATAGACTATATAAAGAACTATTACAGCTCAAAAAAAAAAAACCCAACAAATAACATAATCAAAATATAAGAAAGGGCTCTGAATAAACATTTCTACCAAGAAGATGTGCAACTGGCCAGTAAGTACATCAGAAGACACACAATATCACTAGCCATCAAGGAAACGCAAATCGAAATCACAATGAGATATTATCTTGTACCCATTAAGATGGCTATGATCAAAAAAGACAGATAATAACAAACATTGGTGAGGATGTGGAGAACCCTCATACACTGCTGGTGAGAATGTAAAATGATGCAGCTACTTTGGAAAAATTTCTCAAAAAATTAAACATAGAGTTACTATATGACTCGGCAGTTCCACTCCTAGAAATTACCCAAGAAAATTGGAAACGTAGATTCACATAAAACGTTGTACATGAATGTTCATAGCAGCATTATTCATACTAGCCAAAAAGTGGAAAGAACTGTCCATCAGCTGATGAATAAATAAGTGAAATGCAGTATATCCATACAGTGGAATATTACTTGGCAATAAAAAGAAATGAAGTAGTGATACATGCTACAACATGAATGATCCTTAAAAACCTAATGCTAAATGAAGGGAGTCTCTATAAAAGACCACATATTGTATGATTCCATCTGTGTGAAATGTCAAGAACAGGTAAATCTGACAGTAGATTAGTGGTTGCCTAGGGCAAGGGGAGGGCTTCCCTGGCCATTCAGCGGTAAAGAATCCACCTGCCAAGCAGCAGACACCAGTTCCACCCATGAGTCGGGAAGATCTCCTGGAGTAGGAAATGGCAACCCCCTGGGAAATCCCATGGACAGAGGAGCCTGGCAGGCTATAGTCCATGGAGTTACAAACAGTCTAACATGACTTAGCGACTAAACAACAACAGGGCTGGGGGAGGCTGGTAGAGTGGAGAGCTAGAGCTCACACATGTGGGTTTTCTTTTTAGGGTAATGAAAATGTTCTAAAATTGACCATGGTGAAGGTTGCACAACTCCACGAATATACTAAAAGCTATCAATTACATACTTTAAATAGGTGAATTGCAAAGAGCTGACTCATTTGAAAAGACCCTGATGCTTGGAAAGACTGAGGGCAGGAGGAGAAGGGGATGACAGAAGATGAGATGGTTGAATGGCATCACTGACTCAATGGACGTGGGTTTGGGTGGACTCCGGGAGTTGGTGATGCACAAGGAGGCCTGGTGTGCTGCAATCCATGGGGTCACAAAGAGTCGGACACGACTGAGCGGCAACTGAACTGAAATAGGTGAATCCTATGGTATGTGAATTTACATTTCAATAAAGCTGTTTCAAAAAAAAAAACAAAAAACCATCTTCCTATGGTCTTCAAAGTCTTCCACTATGTGAGCTCATCTCTCTCCATTATTTTTTTTGCTCACTCTGTACCAGGCACTCTGGCCTCCTTCATGCCCTATAGACTCACCAAATATACTCCCAGCTCAAGCCACGGCTATGGCTCATGGTTGGGCAGTTTGTGCACTGAACAAAAAGCTCCTGGCTGAAGGGATGAGGAGAACTGGCATCTAGGCTTCTGCTTGCCTAGACTGGGACCAGGGATGCACCGTCTCAGAGGGGTCATCTTTTCTAATCAGCACACATGACCATGCTCCTGCACATACTGTTCTCTGCTTCTTCTACCCCTCCCCCACATATCCACATAACTTACTCCTGTTTACTCTGTTCTGTGCTCAAAGGTCATTAGAGAGGCCCCCTTTGACCACCTCCCCATGCCCCATACTTGTATCATGCTCTAACCCTTCACTTTCTTTTATTTTACTTCATAGAACTTATTGCCACTGGATAGGTAACATATATTTTGGTTATTACCTGTCTCTATTCACTAGAATGGAAGCCCCAAGAGATCAGGAGCTTCGTTTAGTTCACTGCTATATCTTCAGTGCTTGGAATAAGGTCTAGCATAGTAGGTGCTCGATGAATATATGTTTTTTGGCTGCAATGGGTTTTCATTGCTGCGTGAGGGCTTACTCTAGTTGCAGTGATTGGGGGCCACTCTGTAGTTGCAGTGTGCAGGTTTCTCATTGTGGTGGCTTCTCTTGTTGCGGAGCACAGGCTCTAGGGCACACAGGCTTCAGGGGCTGTGGCATACAGGCTTAGTTGCCCTGAGGTGTGTGGGATCTTCCCGGACCAGGGATCGAACCCGTGTCCCCTGCATTGGCAGGCGGATTCTTAACCTCTGGACAACGAGGAAGTCCAATACATATTTCCTGAGTGAATGAATAAATGAAGTAAAGTCAAGTGATCATCAAAAGCTTAATCATGGACCAGTCTAAGCCCATTCAAGGTGAAGAGAAGGTGAGGTTTTCAGTGGACTGGATGGATTGTATAATGAGGAAAAGTAGCAGCATGTGGTACCTAAGTCTCAGGGACTGAGCTCATCTTCAAGACCAGGCACCATTGATCAAACCGCGGGCCAGAGAGGGGTGAGTGCCGTCGCTGGGGCAGGAGCACGGGAAGCTTACCTCTTCTTTGGTGTAGTACTTCAGCAGGCCTTCTCTTGCCAGGAGGACAAATCTCCTTCTCAGGAACTGTGCGTTATCCCTTCCCCGCTTCCACAGGAACCCTTCTCGGTTCCCTGCCACCAAAGACGAGAAGGAGTGAACCACCGCAGCTCTAAGGCCACTCGGCAATTCACCGCCTGGTGGTGACCCCATACCGTGCAGTCTCAGGGGTGGAATGGACCGCCCACCCGCTGCTGAAACGTCTCAGATCTGATTCAGCTATTTCAGCTGCAGGATGTGGGGTCCTCTCTGGGGAAACTGCAATGCTGTATGATTTTAGTTGGGGGTCCCCCCAACTTTCTTTCTTGGCTGTTTCCTAAGAAGACATAGTAAACCTTTAGGTGGAGACTTCCCTGGTGGTCCAGTGGTTAAGGATCCACCTGCCAATGCAGGGGACACAGGTTTGATCTCTGGTCTGGGAAGATCCCGCATGCTGCAGAGTGACTAAGCCCACGCGCCACAACTACTGAAGCCTGCGGGCCTGGAGCCTGCGCTCTGCAACGAGAAGACACCGCAGGGAGACGCCAATGCACTGCAACTAGAGAGTAGCCAGTGCAGCAACACACACCCAGCACAGCCAAAAATAAGTAAATAAATTAAACTAAAAGTTAAAGGAACCCTTAAGTAGGCTAAGAACTGAGAAACTGCACCGATTTTGAAAGAGGCCCAACTTCACGTTGATATCAGCCAACTGAAAGTCTCCCAAGTACGGGAATAATGAGTGACCTCTGGGTCCCTGCTGGTGGCTGAACACTGTGCTCCTGCTGGCTACGAGCATTCAGCACTGGCTGCCTCTGGTCCTCGAGTGGTTTTGTACATTTTGCTCTCTGGGACAGTGTCCATTTGGACTCACAGCAGAGGGGTAGAATGTGCTGCAGGTCCAAGGCCACCAATGAGGTCATGCCCTGCACAAAGCTGGGAAGGGAGGCAAAACCAGCCCATTCTCCTTCTCAAGGCTTGTGCCACACCAGGGGCCCCCTTAGCCAAAAGCAGGTTGTCTATTTCTACCTGGTCTGTCCAGGGGGTGAATCTTCTTGCAATTTATACTAAGACTTGTACACCCTGTGGTCCTGCAAGGACCTGAAACGAATGAGCTTCTCGGCCAAGAAGACCATAAAACCCCACCAGCCGATGCGTTGCTATTTCAGAAGCAGAGGAACCCACACCTTGGTCTCTGGGGCCAGCGGGAGGGCGGCAGGTATCTCTCTGCTGACCTTCTTCCTAATACTCAGGCACTTTGTTTTCTAGAATGCATCAGAATCAGCCCTCAAAAGATAATGAAAATAACTTTACCTGGGTGTGAGATGGTTTTCCCATCGGCCATAAATTCCTGTCTCTCATACTTAGCTCGAATCCACTGTTCTTTTAAGACCCTAAAAAGAGAGAACCTTTGGTCAGCTGTGTCTGATGCATCCTCTCTTCATGGCAATTTTATGAGACCCTGTAGCTGAGGATGGGAGCTTCGCAGCAGTGCCTGGCTGCCTGGCCAGGCTGGTCATGGTTTCCCCACCTGCATACTATTAACACTTGGGACCAGGTAATGCTTCATGATAGGGGACTATCTCATGCTTTGTAGGGTGTTTAGCAGTATCTCAGACTTCCACCCCCCTGATACCAATAGCAACCCCTCCTAAGTTGTGATACTCCAAAATGTCTGCAGACAAGGCCAGTATCTCACCCGGGAATAATCTCTCTCCCCAGGGGCTATATTCAAACCACTCTGCTATTCCAACCTCAACCCCAATCCTCTAGGTCACTGAGACAGATGCCAGCTCCCCTGGACCATCTACTCTGCCACATCACACTGTGTGTTCATGAGCTTAAGCCAGGGGAGTCCATGAGCCTCTCCCCAAGGCACACCCATGAGATCCGGGCATGCTACAATGGACAGAGCAGTGGTCTTGGGGTCTGACCATCTGGGACCTGGTCCTACTCTATCATTTATCCACTGTGTGACCAAGGGCAAGTTACTTTACTCTTCTGAACTTGGGGAGTATTCCAGTAATATTATATCTACCTATCCCTTAGAGTCGTTGAGATGTTTAAATGCATACAGAGGGCCTAGTGCTATGCTGAGCACATAATTGGTGTTTGCTATTAGCCCAACTGGACATTGTCACCCACGACCCATACAGAAAATCCACACAGCTGAGAGGGACTTCATTCCAGTTGTTTGGTTCCCTCTTGCCTTTTCCAGGCAAACGTTCCCAGGTTGATATGCCCTCATCCCATGGCCACAGGGAATGACCTAGAACTGAGTACCTGACCCAAATTGGTCAATCAGAGCTTGGCCCTGGGCTGTGGGGACCAAAAGGAGCAAAACTTCTAGAGAGTAGCCAGTGCAGCAACACACACCCAGCACAGCCAAAAATAAGTAAATAAATTAAACTAAAAGTTAAAGGAACCCTTAAGTAGGCCAAGAACTGAGAAACTGCACCAATTTTGAAAGAGGCCCAACTTCACGTTGATATCAGCCAACTGAAAGTCTCCCAAGTACGGGAATAATGAGTGACCTCTGGGTCCCTGCTGGTGGCTGAACACTGTGCTCCTGCTGGCTACGAGCATTCAGCACTGGCTGCCTCTGGTCCTCGAGTGGTTTTGTACATTTTGCTCTCTGGGACAGTGTCCATTTGGACTCACAGCAGAGGGGTAGAATGTGCTGCAGGTCCAAGGCCACCAATGAGGTCATGCCCTGCACAAAGCTGGGAAGGGAGGCAAAACCAGCCCATTCTCCTTCTCAAGGCTTGTGCCACACCAGGGGCCCCCTTAGCCAAAAGCAGGTTGTCTATTTCTACCTGGTCTGCCCAGGGGGTGAATCTTCTTGCAATTTATACTAAGACTTGTACACCCTGTGGTCCTGCAAGGACCTGAAACGAATGAGCTTCTCGGCCAAGAAGACCATAAAACCCCACCAGCCGATGCGTTGCTATTTCAGAAGCAGAGGAACCCACACCTTGGTCTCTGGGGCCAGAGGGAGGGCGGCAGGTATCTCTCTGCTGACCTTCTTCCTAATACTCAGGCACTTTGTTTTCTAGAATGCATCAGAATCAGCCCTCAAAAGATAATGAAAATAACTTTACCTGGGTGTGAGATGGTTTTCCCATCGGCCATAAATTCCTGTCTCTCATACTTAGCTCGAATCCACTGTTCTTTTAAGACCCTAAAAAGAGAGAACCTTTGGTCAGCTGTGTCTGATGCATCCTCTCTTCATGGCAATTTTATGAGACCCTGTAGCTGAGGATGGGAGCTTCGCAGCAGTGCCTGGCTGCCTGGCCAGGCTGGTCATGGTTTCCCCACCTGCATACTATTAACACTTGGGACCAGGTAATGCTTCATGATAGGGGACTATCTCATGCTTTGTAGGGTGTTTAGCAGTATCTCAGACTTCCACCCCCCTGATACCAATAGCAACCCCTCCTAAGTTGTGATACTCCAAAATGTCTGCAGACAAGGCCAGTATCTCACCCGGGAATAATCTCTCTCCCCAGGGGCTATATTCAAACCACTCTGCTATTCCAACCTCAACCCCAATCCTCTAGGTCACTGAGACAGATGCCAGCTCCCCTGGACCATCTACTCTGCCACATCACACTGTGTGTTCATGAGCTTAAGCCAGGGGAGTCCATGAGCCTCTCCCCAAGGCACACCCATGAGATCCGGGCATGCTACAATGGACAGAGCAGTGGTCTTGGGGTCTGACCATCTGGGACCTGGTCCTACTCTATCATTTATCCACTGTGTGACCAAGGGCAAGTTACTTTACTCTTCTGAACTTGGGGAGTATTCCAGTAATATTATATCTACCTATCCCTTAGAGTCGTTGAGATGTTTAAATGCATACAGAGGGCCTAGTGCTATGCTGAGCACATAATTGGTGTTTGCTATTAGCCCAACCGGACATTGTCACCCACGACCCATACAGAAAATCCACACAGCTGAGAGGGACTTCATTCCAGTTGTTTGGTTCCCTCTTGCCTTTTCCAGGCAAACGTTCCCAGGTTGATATGCCCTCATCCCATGGCCACAGGGAATGACCTAGAACTGAGTACCTGACCCAAATTGGTCAATCAGAGCTTGGCCCTGGGCTGTGGGGACCAAAAGGAGCAAAACTAAGAGAGGTGAATTGGAAGCCCTCTCTCTAGGGTCGAGCTGGGAGCTGGAGCTGAGAACATGGATATGGTGTTGCTCCCAGCTACAGGAAGAAGTATATTAAAAAGCAGAGACATCACTTTGCCAACAAAGGTCTATATAGGCAGAACTATGGTTTTCCAGTAGTCACGTATGGATGTGAGAACCGGACCATAAAGAAGGCTGAGCACGGAACAATTGATGCTTTTGATCTGTGGTGCTGGAGGAGACTCTTGAGAGTCCCTGGGACTGCAAGGAGATCAAACCAGTCAATCCTAAAGGAAATCAATCCTAAATATTCATTGGAAGGACTGATGCTGAAGCTTATGTTTTGATACTTTGGCCACCTGATGCGAAAAGCTGACTCATTTGAAAAGGAGCTGACTCCCTGATGCTGGGAAAGATTGAGGGCAAGAGGAGAAGGGGGCGACAGAGGGTGAGATGGTTGGATGGCATCACCAACTCAATGGACATGAGTTTGAATAAACTCAAGGAGATAGTGAAGGACAGGGAAGCCTGGCCTGCTGCAGTCCATGGGGTCACAAAGAATCAGACACGACTGAGCAACTGAACAACAACAGGAAGAAAGCCTGGCTGAGAGAAACAGGCAGGAATGGGAACCAGAGGGATTTCAGAGACTTGATGGTGCTGGAGCCTCCTGCCTGTCCTTCCGGAGGGTGGCTCCACCTTCATTCTTTGTGCGGTCTGATCTGAACCCAGAAAATCACCTTGTGCATAAGCTGGTTTAAACTGGGTTTCTGTTGTGTATAGTCAAGAGCCCTACTGAATGCACTACCCTTGCCCCCAGGACATGGAGGAACCCTGAATCACAGAATTAGAGCCGGGAGAGGGAATGGAGACCGAGATTCTGGAGGTGGAGAATTCAGAGGAGTTTTAGAATTAGGGATGGAGGCCATTAGCATACAACCAGAATGGGTTACAGTTCAGGACTGTAGTAGGGGTCATGACACATAGTGTCTATGTAGCATTGGCAGAGAGCCTTGAGCTCAGTAGGCGCTCACCAAGTACCCGGTCCCTTCCCCTTGGAGCAAAGGGTTGGGAGCAAAGGGTGAGGCAAAAGGAGCCCTTTCACGTTAAGCCTGGCACATCCCACAGCTGGGCCAGCCACCAGCCAGTATGCCACAGTGGAGGTGGAAATAGATTAAAACTGGCACGAAGGGTTTCCCTGGTGGTCCAGTGGTGGAGGATCTGCCTTGCAAGGCAAGCGACACCAGTCAGATCCCTGGTCCGGGAGGATGCCACATGCTGAGGAGCAACTAAGCCCTCAGGGCTTAGTGTGTGCTCCAGGGCCCACACGCCACAGCTCCTGAGCCCATCGTGCTGTGACTACTGAAGCCCGTGTGCCTAGAACCTGTGCTCCACGAGAAGAGAAGCCACCGCAGTGAGAAGCCAGCGCGTCTCAAGGAAGAGCAGCCCCCGCTTGCTGCAACTAGAGAAAGCCTGTGCACAGCAATGAAGACCCACCCACAGCCAAAGAATAAAAACAAGTAAATAAATCCTAAAAAAAAAAAAATGGCATGAGGGGTGTCTTTGAGATGTTTTACCCAAGTTATCTCCTTTAATCTCTACCATCATGCAACCACGCGGGCATCACTGTCTACGTTTCAGAGATGAGGATGCCACGACTTGGAAAGTTCTGCTCCCTTGTCTACCTTTTCACAGCTGGAGAGTGACAGAGACATAGAACCATACCGGGGTCTCCTGAGTGGAAAGCTGGGCCTGCTCTGCCACTCCCGGGTTGCTTAAATACTGGGAAATGACAGGACACCAGGTACGGTTGTATAGTTTGTGCACTGTCCAACAGCATCCTGCCGTGGTTAGAGGACAATGGTGGCGGAAATGCAGCCCGTTTCCTGCAGGCCATGCCTCCTTCTCCCCATTCACACTCCATTCACACTCAACCCGGAGGCTGAGTGCCTGGGAGGGAAGCTCAGGCTCAGGCCATCAGCCCTGCAGAGGTCTGGGGTCACTAGGTAACCAGTGTCACCCTCACCCGTCACCCCCGGGGACCTGAACCCTCCTGCTGCTCCATGGCATGCAATCCCAGTACACTGGATTTTTTCCCAGCGCCTTGGTACACTCACAAAGGCCCTGGTGTCTGATGGGCTTGTCCCAGCTCTGCCTCTATCAGCCTCAGGTTTTTCATCTACATGGTGGGGATAATGGCAATACTGATCTCATAGGGTTGTAGAGAGAACGAAAATTAACACACACAAGCATTTAGCACAGGGCCTAATACATAGTAAAGCCCAATAAATATTAGTAGCTACAAGTATTTCTATGGTTATTATTTGGGGATCTGGGGCCTAAGCAGCTGAATTGGAGCTATGCTGAGCTTAGGTGGGACAGCTCTGGGCACAAGATTCCATGCAAAGTAGCTGAAACACATTGATTCTGCTAGAATACTGGCATTACTCTTCTTAATCAAGTTAGTCATCACCTGTAGGCTATGAGAACATCAAAGCAAAGGGATGGAAACTAAAGCAGATGTCCATTTCACGGCTGTGGAAACTGAGTCCCAGGAAGGAGAGGAGACAACCCAAGCTCTGAAGGCAGAGAGGGCCTTACACAGATCTCTGTGTTCTCCATGTACCAAATGCTTTCCTGGCTCCACCTGCTGGGCAGGTCCACAAAAAAGACTCAGAGACAAAGGTACTGGAGATGGGGTAGTAGCGGGAATGGGTGGGACCAGGAAATGATCCACTCACATGCAGTCGTTGGCCTGGGGGATGTAGTAGAATGCAGGGACTCTGGCTTCATACTTGGCCTTCACTCGGAGGTTCCCATTGTGGGTCATAAACTGCAAGACAACAGCAACTTGGGGTAACGTTAGAACTTGAAAAAATGTGAAACGAAACCACAGTCCACCCAGAAGGTCACTGTTCTCACTGGCTCCTAGGCTGAGTCAGGAGACATTCCTCCTGGAGTTTGACATTTCCCCCAACCCAGCTTGGTCACGTGTGATGCTCAGAAGTCCCAGCCTGGAACAATGTAACAACCATGCCTCATACAGGCAGAGCACTTTACAGCTCTCCCACATTATTCCATTTGATCCCCTCAGTCACTGTAATACTACTGTCCCTGTTATAAGGTGAGGACACCAAGGCTCAGAGAGGTTAGGCGACTTACCCAAGGTAACACAGCTAGTCAGTGGAGAGCTGGAATTTGAACCCAGACCTGCCTAACTCCAAAGCTCATGTACTTTCCCCACTGCCCTCCACAGATGGCCAGGACCACCAGCAGTAGTCCCTGCAAGTCCGTAGGAGATAGATGGAACTGGAGGATGCACTTCAGTGCTCCATCCCATAGAGTATATAGGTCAGGAAGATTGCACCAGAGAGACCCAGAGGCATGCACATGTGTCAGAAGTGGCCCTGGCCATCAGTCAGCACTCAGTAACATCAACGGCATTTCTGGACTGGGGACACATGTGAAAAAAACAGCCCATTTTTAATCCACGTCTCTTGGAAAGAGTGAACCCTATTCTTCTCTTCCCCACTGGCCACTGGGCTGTGTCACAGGATTTGCATGGGCTTTGGGTCTCCACAGAGCACGGTTCCCATCTCAGCTGTGCCATTTATTCACTGAGTGACCCCTGGGCTACACCTAACCCCCTGGGCTTCAGGGATCTCACCTGCAAAGATGAAGAAGCTATAACCAGGGAGTGCTAAGAGCCAAGTTGCTTCAGTCGTGTCCGACTCTTTGCGACCCCCTGGATTGTAGCCCACCAGGCTGCTCTGTCCACGGGATTTCCCAGGCAAGAATACTGGAGTGGGTTGCCATTTCCTTCTCCAGGGGATCTTCCCAACCCAAGGATTGAACCCGTGTCTCCTGCATTGGCAGGCAGGTTATTTTCCACTGAGCCACCAGGGAAACCCATAACGGGGGAGTGATGAGGCACAAAGAAACGACCTTCAGGTTTACATGCCGGTTTCCGGTCTTTCTCCTGCACTAGAATGTAAAGCTCCACATAAGCAGAGACTTTATCTTCACTGCTCTCTCCTACACCCAGCAAATGCAGGCTTAGAGGAATGAATGAATGAATGAACAAAGCATCTAGCCCAGTGGCCTAGCACAGTACCTGGCACAGACAGGGGTACTCAGTAAACATGGGTCTGCTTCCCCGGTAGTCTTTGAAATCCTCAGCCAGCCTAGTTTAGGACTGCCTGCTCTCTGAAGGTTTTCTGGCCAGAATGGTGTCATCAGCCAGCCTGAAAGTGTTCTCCATCTCTGGAGATCAGAACAAAGTGGCTCCCTCCCTGGCTAGGGGAACTGGAGAAGGGCTATGGACCATGAATCAGGATACTTCTGTTCTGGTCCAGGGTTTCAGCTACTAAGAACAGCAGCTGTTAATTGACAACTTACTTTGTACCTGCCTTGAGTCAGCATTTAATCCTGATAGCAGCCCTGTGAAGGGAGAGTGGTATATTTATGATACACGTGTGGAAAGGGCCCACAGCTAGTGTTAAATAGCAGGCTCCGGACCTCGCAGCTTGCAAGTAGGTAAGCAATGGAGCCAGGATTTGAACTCAGGGTGTCTGTCTAAGGCAACTCTAACTGGCTCCTTACTGCCCCTTTCTCGGCCTCAGTTTCCTTCCCTGGAGAATGGGAGCAGGCTCCTGTTCAAAGGCTCTCCACGTGCGCCCCTTGCTACCTCCACGATACTGTCGTCCCAGAAGTCAAGTCTGACGGATTTCACTTTGCTGATGTCTGGAAAGTTGCGGTGGACTCCGGAGCAGTTCAGACAGATAAAGATGCCCAGCTTGTAAGAGGCCCAGTCGGGATCTGCGGGGTGAGAGGGCAGGGTGGGGAGCTGGGTGAAGAGCTGGCTGACGAAACCAGGGCTAGGCTAGGGGCGCCGGGAGAGGCAAGGGCTTGGCAGGTACCAACAGCCCATGCCTTCTCTCTCCGCCTCCCCGCCTTGCGCGAACTAAGATACCAGCATGAAACCCTCTGGTCAGCCCACTTGGCCCTGAGGCGGCTTCGGCGGCGGCCAGAATGAAGATCTTGGAAGGAGTCCGGGGGATGGAGAGCGAGAGGCTGAGGCGGGCCCGAAGTGGAAGTGACAGCACTTCAAGGAACTGAGAGGAGAGCGCGGAAGGACTGACCCGCAACTCGCCGGGAACTGCGGATGGAAAGTGGGGTCAGAGTCTCTTGGCGTGCGCCGGGTCTGAGGGCGCAGAACCCCGGGGACGTCCGAGGCGCGGGAGGGGACACTGGACCATCCGTGAAGACCTGGGTCCGGGGGTCTGGGAACCCTGGTGTGTGGGATGTTTGGATCTGAGGGTGGGGGAAGGGGCTGGGTCCGAAAAGAAGAGGTCAAGGACCATGGTCCGGGTGGGCAGGGTCTCTGGCAGAGGGAGGTGAGTAGAATGGGCAGGGCACCCGGGGCTGGGATCCAGTGTCGAGGTCCAGAGGGGGCAGGTCAGTGGGCCCGGCTTCGAGTGGGGGCAGTACTGGCCGAGGAGAGGGCTGTCGGGGGCCCGGGTCCGAAGGTGATGTAAGAGTCGTGTGCGGGGGTCTGGGACCCGCCCGGGTCTGGAGGCAGGGGACGGGACCCGCGGGCAGCGGGCGGGCCCAGAATACCGGGCTACACGCGCCTCCGCGACCTTACCCGCCGCCCCGCAGTCTGCGCAGTACGCGTTGCCGGTGCCCGCCGCCTGCAGCAGCTCCAGCAGCCGCTTCTTGTTGCGCTCGCGGTCACCCATGGCCGGCCCCGGAGGGCTCAGGGCTCAGCCCGGCCGCCCCTCGGCCCGCGGCCGCCCATGGCCAGCTCGCTCGCCCGCAGGTGGAGCGGGGAAGCAGCCTCAGCTCCGGCAGCCAAGTCCTCGCCGCCAGCCCCGCCCCCGGGGCGTTAAGCCCCGCCCACTCTGGACTTTTCGCCCCGCCCCCGGCGCGTCCAGTTTGCCCCCCAGCTGGGCGGATCGCGTTCCTCTCTAAGGCCGCACCGGTCCGGGAGGGACCCAGCGTAGGGCTTGGAGTCGCTCACTCTGGCCGCTGATCAAATCCTGGCCTATCACCGGCTAGCGTTGCGACTGTGGACAACCTGATCAACCGCTCTGGGCCTCAATTTTCGCTTCTGTAGAAGGAGAATGAGGACATATGTCTTTGGAAAACTAGCAAGGCTCTAACTTCTGTTAAGGCATTCTCCTGATATAGGTCCTGTGCAGTGCTTAGTCGTTAAGTCGTGAGCTCTGCGACCTCGTGGACCGTAGCCCGCCAGGCTCCTCTGTCCATGGGGATTCTCCAGGCAAGAGTACTGGAGTGGGTTGCCATGTCCTCCTCCAGGGAATCTGGAAAGCCCGGGGATTGAACCCAGGTCGCCTGCATTGCGGATGGATTCTTTACCGACTGAGCCATCAGGAAAGCCCAAGAATACTGGCGTGGGTAGCCTATCCCTTCTCCAGGGGATCTTCCCGACCCAGGAATCGAACCGGGCTCTCCTGCATTGCAGGTGGATTCTTTACCAGCTGAGCTAGTAGGAAATATTGATGTAGAGCCTACATCTACTTAAAGACATAGAGACGTTAAATGCCACCTCCTCAGGAAGCCCTCCTTGATACTTAGCTAGTTTGGGGTGATCTCTCCAGCTTCTGGTCTTGCTAGATTACTGGCCCTTATAGGGTCCATTTTTCCTTTTGGCCCTGAGAGCTTTCAACCAACTTTGCATCACAGTTATATACAGTTATATATATATTTATGTTAATTCCTCCCCAACCTCCGGCACACACTAGTTTGATGTCAGAAGTTTTATTTCTGTATCCCACACGGCTCCTAGAAACAGCATCTGCACATTTTTAGAAGTTCAATAAATAGTTGTTTGACTGTGTTCCCCAGGAAGTGAGGCTTTACCAATGGGATACCACCGGGCACTTTTATCTGAGAATGTTCATCACTTAAGGTGTGGGCGGGGTTTAGGTGGTCTTGAATCTGGGCATTTCATGAATCCCCCTGCCCCTTTCCAATTCCTGTCCCTCCTTGGCATCATCCTCAGTGATGCACAGGCTCCTGGTAAGGCACTCACTGTGCACATGTGTCACTCCCTCTGTATACAAACACCTATCTGTCATAAGCATAATGCACATGGATCTTCGGTTTCCATCCTGGTGGGTTGCAGCTGATCTTCTAGCTGACCTGCCAGCATCTCCAATTCATCACACATACATATACGCATGCGAACATGTAAGACAGCATGGTATAATGGAATGAATTCAGGAAGCCAGACTTTGAATCTTGGCTCCATCACTTACTAGCTGTGTGGTCTTGGGCAAGTTCTTCACTTCTCAGAGCCTTGGACTCCTCATCTGTAAAATGAGGGTCAAGAGATCACCGAACAGGGTCATTGAGATGGTCGTTGGCACACAAAGCCCTCAAAACTCAGTGGCCCCCTTGCTTCCCCACTGGGCAGCTCATGGGATCATCTGTTGGAATGCTCTGTGTCATTTCCCATCTTCTCCAGGGTGGAGGAGGTCAGGCCTCCAGGCCCTGGGGGAGGGGAATATGACCAAGAATAACCAGCCAGGACAGTCTTGGCTGTGGGGGTGCTGCCTGGCCTAGGAATATCTCCAGAGGAACCAGTGAGACAGCCTGGAGAAGGGTCAGAGGCTGTTTACCAAACAGGCCGGAAGATGATTCATTTCCACGGCTTTACATGAAAAAGAGACAGAAATAAATCTCCCAGGAGAAAGATGGGAAAGGCAACCTAAGGTATGAAGGCAAGGCAAGGGGGAAGCGGGGGACAAACAGGAGACAGGCCAAGGACACCATTTCTCCACTGACAATGCCAGGGCGGAATGGTGATATTGGAATGGTTCTTGGGGGCCGTTGTCCCACTGAGCTGCCCTCCTTTGCACCTTGAATCTCAGCATCCCCTCTCTGGAAGCCCCACGAAAAAACAACTGAAGGGAAAAAACAACATCTCTTTCACGGTGAGAAGCCAGATATTGAGAGGTTCCTTTAGTTTCTTCTCTTCCTTATTTCTGGAAGTTTCCAGTTAACAGAATTTCAAGGGACTTCCCTGGCAGTCCAGTGGTTTGGACTCCATGCTTCCACTGCAGCAGGTATGGGTTCGATCCCTGGTGGGGGAACTAACATCCCACATGCTGCAGGGCTCGGGCAAATTTTTTTTAAATTAAAATACATTTTTTAAACTAAAACAAACAAACAGAATTTCAAGCCTCAAGATTTGCCAAGAACAAACAAACAAACAAAAAAACTCAGAAACAAACCAAAACCAGTACTGCTATACTTCTGGTGATGAATTTCTTCCCTTCCTTCTTTCTTTGGGAAGGGGAGATAATTCTAATCTAAAAGCATTGAGTGTTATTTTAGAGTTTTACACTATTTGATTACACTGGCGTCCCATGACAGCCATCTGAGGGCAGCTTGCTACCCTCATGGAGGATGAGAGGTTAAGGTACCCAAGGTCATCGCCAGCAAAGGTGGGAACAGGGCTTACATCCAGTTCTCCTATTGCAGTGACCACCAAACCCCACAGGACAAGCCTCTCTCCCTTTAGTCTTCCTCCCACAACTGGAATTTTTTTCCACTTTAAAAAACTTGCAATGAAAATCTCAAACATAAAGTTGGCTATTTGAATCATTTTCAAATGCACAATTCAATGGCATTCATTCCATTCACAATGCTGTGCAACCATCACCATTATCTAGTTCCAAGCGTTTTTCAAAGCCATAAGAAGAGACTCTGTAGCCCCCTCGTGGGGATTGGACATGATCAAAATCAAGCTCAGCTCTGCATTCGGGAGCCAGAAGCTGCTTCTAAAGGAAGAACTCTGTGCCAAAGGAGGTTGTGACCCAGCGGAACATTGGGATCAGCCAGAGGCAACCCCCCTTGTCAGCTCAGTCCATACAGCAGCTGCTGGGGTGAGGGGGCAGTCGGGCCCTGGGACACAGTGTTCTCTGTAAATAAAGCTCCCAGGGTCCCTCAGAGCATAAACAACAGCGCTGCTCCCGGGGTCAAGGTCTCTGTCGAGCTGAGCCCAGCCTCGACAGGGCTGGAAGAAAGCCTTCAACCACATTCCCAAGCCTGGACTGGGCTTAAGATCCCCACGGGATAGGCCAAAACTCCCTGGAAATTTTAAATAATTATGTTTATTAGTTGTACACAATTTGAAAACTATAATTATAGGAAATTTGGAATACATAATAAAGAAGAAAGAAAACACCACCCACACTTGTGGCCATTTATTCAGGGATTGCTGTATGTCAGGCCCCTTATGGGCATTATTATTCCATTTCCTCTTCAATATAACCCTGAGGTGTAGACTAATTTTATGCACATTTTACAGATGGGACAACTGAGGCCCTGAGTTCAGCTCAGTTCAGTTCAGTCACACAAATGTGTCCAACTCTTTGTGACCCCATGAACCACAGCACACCAGGCCTCCCTGTCCATCACCAACTCCCGGAGTCCACCCAAACCCATGTCCATCAAGTCGGTGATGCCATCCAACCATCTCATCTTCCATTGTCCCCTTCTCCTCCTGCCCTCAATCTTTCCCAGCTTCAGGGTCTTTTCAAATGAGTCAGCTCTTTGCATCAGGTAGCCAAAGTATTGGAGTTTCAGCTTCAACATCAGTCCTTCCAATGAACACCCAGGANTGGGATGGGGAATACATGTAAATCCAGGGCTAATTCATATCAATGTATAACAAAAACTACTGTAATGATGTAAAGTAATTAGCCTCCAACTAATAAAAATTAAAAAAAAAAAAAAGAAAAGAAAAGGCAGAGGAACCAGAGATCAAATTGCCAACATCCACTGGATCATCGAAAAAGCAAGTGTTCCAGAAAAACATCTATTTCTGCTTTATTGATTATGCCGAAGCCTTTGACTGTGTGGATCACAATAAACTGTGGAAAATTCTTAAACAGATGGGAATACCAGACCACCTGACCTGCCTCCTGAGGCCCTGAGAGAGAATCTAGATAAATTTGTCCAACCAACGTTACACAACTGAGACAATGCATACTGGATGACACAAAGGACTGGATCTGGGATTCAAACCCAAGTTCATCCTGAGCTCTTTGCAACAAAATATTATGTTAAAATGTGTAAAGTTGACTTATGAAAATAGTAATGTCATGCAGTTCAATTTAATGCTCTTTTAATGGTCCTATCACCAAGATTTATTATTATATTTACATGGATTTCCTTCTGGTCTTTTATACATCTTTTTATCATTTAGGCCATATTTTTCATAAAATTGCTTATCCTTTAAAACTTTCTTTACATTGTATCTTATATTACTATGGATGCTTCACAACATCATTTTAATAGCTTTATAATAGTCCATGGGATATATGTATTTCCTTATTCTTGGACACATAGATCATGACTGATTTTTCACTGCTACACATAGCACTGTAATGAGTAACTTTATACCCAAAGCCTTTTCCCTCTTTAACACTGAATTTTCAAGCTGTACCTACCCAACTCTGCTGTACTTGCTCACGGGTCTCCTTCACTCATCCAAGATTTGTGAAGACAGAGTCAGATCAGTGTATCCCCAGTGTACCCCCAGCACCTGTCTGCCACAAAATAAGGATTCAATAAATATTTGTGAAAAAAATGAAGAAACAAGTGGGGGTAAAAAAAAATAGCAAGCAATAAAGTGAGAGGACTTGAGGTCACAAAAGTGAACTACTTTCTTTCTTAAAAAATGGAAGTATAGGGACTTCTCTGGTGTCTCAGTGGTAAGGGATCCACCTGCAGTGCAGGAGACACGGGTTCGATCCCTGGGTTGGGAAGACCCCTGGCGAAGGAAAT